CCCCCCATCACCACCCTGGGTATTTCTATGGTTTCACAGATTGAGATCTCACGGAATTCGCCCTTGTGAAGTATGCTCCTAAAGTCAGATCTGTGTAGATAAGTATTACGGTACCTTCACTCACAGCTTTGTCAAATTGGTCGTGCTAATCGGGACAACTAAAATATCAGACTCCTCACTAGCCAAATCTATTACAAGGAACGATTTCGATCAATGACTACAGACTAAGGTTAAGATTTTAAAAAAATATACAAACGTGATTGGTTTATACCCTGTTAAAGCTGTACGTGTGAACGTAGTCGGGACTTATCAGGACTTATCTATGAATATAGGCCACAGAATCTTCGATCACGTCCGATAAAACGAGGCTTCAAGATAATATATAATAATTGTTTTCTAATTTAGATTTTCTTAGGAATTATAAAAGAACGGTGAACCACGAAACATTTTAAATGGGCTACGAAATACCACTAAACGGCCACTAATCGTTTGGAAAAGAAATATTAATTTTTATTTTACGACTACCTTTCTGGAGCTCATTAAAAGCTAGTAAACCACGAGAATAACGATCGCGAGACTCGTGTCGTTAATACTTATTATTTTTTTCATAGAAAAAAAAAAAAAGATATCATAAATATAGTACAATGTCGTCTTGTTTAAATTCTATAAAGAAACATGAGTCTCGTTACAGTTCTCCTGAAGATAATTTGGTTGTTCGGTAGGCCCTGCCGTTGTTTAAGTTCGTTAAAACGTTCTTCTGCACTGTAAACGGAAATCAAATGCACAGACAGCTCTTCGACATATTTACGTGTGATCCACATTCATCGGTGTGAAAAATTTCTAATTCGATCTTACGGATCATAATACAATTGTGTCAGACCATTTTCTCATTATTAACCGGTTCCCGCCAGCCACCAAATGCCTTTTCGATTTCACGAGCAAGCGTTATACTCAAATGGTCGTTATTAGGATTGGCCACCACCTGAAATCGATAAATAAAATTAACCAGCGTCACGATTGATAATATCTGTAACCTTATTACCTGTAGTGTCGTTAACCATTATCGAGAAGGTATGTTAAGAACACATCGAGCCACGAAATTCTACTACGAAAGTTCAATTGAAAACTCACCTGCAGACCAATCGGAAGGCCATTTCTATTGAGTCCCATTGGACACTGCGTAACTGGAAGACCCAAAGAATTGAAAATCATCATGTAAGATACGTTACAGACTTTGTGATAAATCTCGTATGGGTAGTGTGCTGCGGAGACGAATGTTGGATAAATCAGTACGCCATTATCGCCGAGAAGATCCTGTTAAAGGAAAAATAATTATAAGGGTACATCTCGAGACTCTATATTATGTTATTTTGTCTTTAACATTTTTCTTATAATTTTCATTTTGATAAAAAAACTAACCTCAAATTGCTTCTTCAAGGACGCGTTCTTCTCCACCATTTTTTCGTAGTGGGCCCGAGGTATTTTCTCAGCGATTCTCTTAAGAACTCCATAAGCAATATTTGGAAATGTGTGAGGAGACAAGAGGGAGACGTATCTTAATACTTCTACGAAGACGCTTTTCCATTCCTGAATGTTTTAAGCATACGAAAATTACCCATGAGTATACAAGAGATGGATAATTAAAATGAGGTATTTACATATGGATTTGAATCCTTCATAAAAATTGAATCTGCCCCGTCGATTCCCAACAGAATAGTAGTCGCTATTTCAAAAGCGAACTTCATGTCTGTCAATTCTGCCTGTGAAAAGAGAAAAAAGAAAAATAGTGAGATTTCGGAGAATTTTCAATTTCCAATTTTATTCACAATCGTCAATTACCTTTATAGCCTTAATTCCGTGAGCCGTTTCGAGATGCTTCACTAGTCTCCTTATTCCTGATTTGATTTCTCTGTCTACGGCATCCGTAGCACCGGAGCCACAGTCGTCCTCCATATAAAAAAATTTCATGTCCTTCAATGCCACCTGGCGAAATAGTTTGTATTAATAAAAGAAAATATTACCTCGTATCTAGAATAAAATCACAGCAAAGAGACTAACCTTCTTATTCAGTTGAACAGCTGCTAAGGGATGGTCTGACATGACGTTCAGAAGAAGCGGAAGATCTACGGCGTAACGGACCATTGGACCAATGCTGAAAAACATGGTCCAACTTATGTCGTCGCAATTCGGCATATGACCAACGGTGGACACCCATCCTTAATTATAAAAAAGTAATAGATTATTTAAAATATTATATTTTTATACGAGAAAACCAAATGTCAATCGGATGATTAATTGACTTTACGACCTTTTCTGCTTTCGTTATTATTAATAAAAAATCTTTTTTTTTAGCGTCTGCATAAATCCTCATCAAGATTTGAATTTATGTTAATATTTTATACCAGTCTACCTGGTGTCGGCTTGTGACCAAAGACTCCGCAAAACATAGCCGGAAGTCGTGCGGATCCTCCTATGTCCGATGAGAGACTCAATACGGATGCGCCGGATCCCAATAGGGCTGCCTGCAAGAGAATCCCTTAAACGTGTACATCCCTTACGATTGCTTCCGATACTACATACTACATCAAGGAATGATAAACTCCAGAGACGAACCTCCCCACCGGAAGAGCCGCCGGCTGTCCTTTTCGTGTCGTATGGATTCCACGTGGTTCCGGTGACTTTATTGTAACTTTCCCAGCACATGCACATTTCCGGTGTGTTACTAACTAAAATAGGTATCCCACCGGCTTCTCGAATCCTCTTGACGACCTCGGCGTCCTCCTTGGCAGTTCGCGGAGTCTCCTTCTGCGTCCCTGCACAATGGCTCAAGCCTACGTACCAAAGAGAATAACAACAAGGAATTACGTGAAAATTGAATATGACGAGATCGCTGGCAAACCAAACGTGGCTGTGCTTAGAATTTTTTCTTGCAAATTATGCACGCGCATCGTTTTGCACTTGGTTATATAATATTTTACAATTTTAGCATATATTTACGTACTTATTTGAGATCTACGTGTGACGTGTCTAAGGATTGCATTATTTGCACACTCAAAGAAAAACACGATGAACTCGTGACCGACTGCGATGGTACTCAAAGAAATACAATATGGAAATTCGATACTTCACTTCGATACTCGCAGTCTGAATCATTTTAAATCTATCAATAATATTTAATGTTACATCATCGACAATAGAGACAGTATTAAGTTAGGTAAATCGGTAGCTAATAAAATTCGGTAAAACTTCAAAATAAAACTTGAGGAAGAAAATTATGTATAGACGGGTCGATCCGAGTGATTCCCATTAAGGCGACAAGACCTTGAACTCGAGCGATAGTCATGTCAATAGAAACCGGTTGTTCATTTATTTGTTTTAATTATTTTCAATTGCAAAAGATAATAAACGACACATAAAACTAGTGATTAATTTCAATGTCAATCTCTTCCAGGATGGATTAATCTCAATAAATAGAACACGCCGGATTCGAACTGAGCTAATAAATTATTTTTCATAGTCACGATTTGTTTCTTTTTTATCAAGCCTGTATCCAGGAATTGCACGATACGTATAGCTCAGTCTCGCGATATTGCCGTTAATCTTCATCGTACGTCCAGATAAGAAATTCTAATCACACTTTTGTCAATAACCCTCTTTCACTCTGCCAATCTTCCAATATAACAAATACATGCTTTTTTTTTATTTATTGCTAATTTCACACAGCTCACCGACGCCGCCGGATCCACATCCGGTCCTGCCTTTGAGTTACTTCAGATTGTATCTCATCACAAGGTTAACATCAACTACATACATATATCCTTTTCACAAACTTACATTCTCACAAACGTACCAAACGCACCACCAATAATTTCCATGTAACCTGAATATTTTTGTTTTTTGCCAACTGTTGAAAAAAAAAAAATATCAAAAGATTATTACAATTCTCAGTCGTCGTAGACGACTCCAATATTTACCAAGTTGATAAGTAGCGAAAGCACGCTTAAGACATTGTCCAATATTTACCAATCGCGTGGGCATCTATTTTTCTCAGGTACACGCGTTAAGGTATTCAAATGGCAAGATAATTAATAGAAAAAACATTGAGCGATTGCCCAGCAGTCACGAGGGACGGTTCTCTGATGCTGATAAAATGTAGCTAGGGGATGCAGGGAGCGACGGGGACAGAAGGGGACCCAAGAGGGACAGAAGGTGCAAGTGACGAATGGCGACCTACCACGCACGGCTATGCTCTCCTTAACCGTTACAGGAATTCCAAGCAACGGAGTTTCACGAGACAGTTCCTCCTTGTTCTTTCCGTTAGCCTCAAGGGAAAAGTCAACCTTGCGCGCCTCTTCCAGAGCATCGTCGAAGCGCGTCTGCACTATGGCGTTCACCACTGGATTCACCTCTTTGCATCTGTCAATGTAAGCAGCGACGACCTCTTCGCTGGTTAACTGAAAGAAACATAAAATAGCATCAAACGAAAGGCACAGGAGTCTCTTGGGTACTTGGACCTTGGAATATCCAGGCGAAATAATTCCTGACTTTACTAGATTTCTACTGAAACGTGACTGACCTCCTTCTTACGAATCCTCGTGGCAATCTCCGTCGCCGACAGCAGGAGTATCTTGTTCCTGATCGGTGGACATTGCTTCCTCTCGGTGAACTTACGAAGCCTCGTTACCGGTATTATGAAGCAGCGCAAAACGAACATCAGGCCCCAGATGACTCTCTGCGTGACTGCGTTCGCCATTTCCTGAAATCACGTGGATCAAGTGACGACCAGGTGACTCGAAAGTCAATTAGGGTTAATTGATCAATAATTCAGAAGCTAAGAACAGATCCACGGGGTTTTCGTTTTTGATCTAGCAGCTGCATCCTCGCGAAGGAGACACAATGAGATCAATTGGGTCGATCAAGACTGTGTAGCCAGTTCAATTGGGAGTGCGTGTCCTCCTGAGCAATTAACGTAACGTCAGAGCCTGGGAACTCGTTGGCAACGGAGTCACCAGGAAAGACTTCGGACGGATGATCGATCGTTGGGTGTCAAGGTGTCATTGGACGTAAGACAGAGACAGAGGTGACTTATGCCCATTTGCATCTGAATTCGAGCAAACAGCATGGAGATCCAAAGGTTCAAAAGATTCCTAACTATTATTTCCGCGCTTCAAGCACTTGCTAAATTATACCGTGCAAATGTTAGCACTGTCAGCGCTCTCGGGTTAGTTTTCTTAACCTGTCATCAATATTCATCCGTGACGTTCAATTTCTTTCTCTCGTTCCACGACTCCTGCCCGAAGCTTCGTTTAAGAAATATCGCTCCTACTACACTTTTATACCACTGTCCGTTATCGCGTATTCACAATTTTAGGTTAATGCAGGGGTCTACAGTTCATACCACAAGGTCAGCCGAATATTCCATCACGAGGATTATTTTTTAGACACGCAGATGATAAATAATTAAGATCAATTAGAACGGTCATGCAAATTATTTGTAGCTCGTTTGTGAAATCTAGAACTTTTTCTTTTCTCAAGATCAATCGGTTCGATAAGTTTTTGAAACAACAGTGCTTACTGAGCTATTGAGTATTTCTCTAGTTTTTCTCGTCCAACGCACGTGGATCTGTTATCGCCGTCTGACATCTGACTCTTGCGTCACCCTTTGCAACAATTATCATAACGAATCCAACTGGTTTTACAGTCCGTTTCGAATTAGTACAATGAAAGGAATTGACCTCCTTTGGCCCGTTAAGGTGGTTATCGTGTAAAACAATTTTCGTGATATTTTTTCAAAAATTTCGTCCAATTCTTTCATTTCATTTTTTTTTTCCATCCAAACGAGTCGTGGGATATTGATTGAAAGAAGATATGTGATGAATTGATATAAAGGGAGTGCATGGGAAAAAATTCCGAAATAATTTACAGTTTCGGTTCCAAGATATTAACAGTTAAAACGAAAATTTCGTGGCACGAACAAACTGCGGCGAATGACGCGGCAACAGTGCGATATACTCAAGCCATGTGCTTGTTGTAGAATGCGTGCGCACGTATAAAATAATTTCTTGTCATCGACGATAATTCGAAGAAAGAAATGCAGAATCTTGTTACGTTTCAATTGTAAAATCATCCTCAATGGTTTTCGTATTGATTATTTTAAATATTTATTATTTTAAATAAACACCTGTTATAAAATCTCAAAGTGAGCAAAAAAACAAGGCAAGGAAGATACAGAAAGTAACAAATATATAAAGATTTCATAAATATTAACTATAATAAAATTGAATAATCACTCGTATGATTCAAAGAACTAAACTATTTTCTTAATATACGTTTTGTCTTTGGTAACTCGTGGTTTACCGCCATATGCGACGTTGCCACGATCATAACTCTGAATCGTGGTTCGGGACTGTTGCGTGTGTCTTTGTCGATTAAACGGATACTTCCATTTTGAATTTACTTTAACGAATAATAAAAGCAAAATAGAATTAATTTAAACCTTCATATTTTATCCACGTTATTTAGTAGCCCTAAATTTATTTTTCATTGCAGTATTGTCATAGACACTGTAATTTTCTGCTATTTTCTCAACTAAATTTTATCCCTATTAAATATCTCAGGCGCCTACGCCACTGCACCTCTACATAACTACACGTGTATGATCATTGAATATTCCTTATGAGCATGAAATGGTACAATTAAATAGTCCATTGTCTGAAACTCACCACAAGATTGAACCGTAAATTTGCCAAGAGGGTTGTCAACGCTGACAATGCTAATTCCATTTTGAGAAATGCACAATCGTCAACTCCTTCGTGTCAAATTAACTATGTCGTCCTTTTAACACTACGACTTCCGATCGAGAATATCACGAACTCTTACTGGTTCTGCACTGGTTTCTTGGATGGAAGTTATGTAGGTTCTTGTTAAACTGAAATATTTATAAACGCGTAAAAAAGAAGCACAATAAACACCGGCAAAGGAAACTCGCGAAGCTCAAAAAATGGTGAGGGACATTTAAAAATGAATGAAACTCGCAAGATTTGACAGTTTAGAACTTGTTGACAACTGAACAATATTGAAATGCAAATCGAACTTTTGAAAGAAAAATAAAAGAAACGGTCAAACCGAACACAACCTGAGATTTTGACAGACAGGCTGAGACTAAACGAAATGGTAATGTGCCTCGGCACATAATGTAGCCACTAGGTGGGGAAACTGTTTAACGCTCTCGGCACATGTTTTACCTCGGTTACAAATCGAAAAGTAAATGCGGTACGACCTCTTTGACGTTGCTAGTTAATAAATGGAAATAGTAACGAATACCGTGAGACATACCAAAATACATATCCCTCGGACGCTCGAGGCCGATTATACGAATCGTTGTGTAGTTAATAACTGCATCAAACACGCCGCCCGCCACTTAATCCCGATATAGTATTAATTCCGACTCGCGCAGCGACCGAGCTGCGTTTGTGTCTCAGGAATGCTCGATAATCGATGCTTCACATTTTGAAACGTTGCTCACTTCGCGCGGTAGAGGGAGACGACTGGTTGCGTACGGTTTAATTAATGCAACGTCGTGAAGAATTATGCTAACAAGTAATCTTTTACTTATTACATACATTATTTTATAAATAATGAATATTTATTTGACTTCTGTGCCCTTTTCAAAATAAATTCTTCGAACGTCTTTTTTTATCGTTACAGTTCATTTATCTACTTATATACCACTCCGTTATTTCTGTGCATGTAACTTTCCGAATGATAAGATACTGTATTACATTTATTAAATGATATGATAAAAATCGATAGTATATTAATGGACTATCTTCGTGGATCGATACCGGCTTCGATATTAATGATCCCTCGTTTCAACTGAAGATGAACGTACCGATTGTATATGACCCTCTGTTTTTAATGAAATAAAATTGAATACCATGAGCCACGCTTTTATTGCCAATAGAGAAACCTACACATCGACATTTCCTGCCGAAGAGCGATTACCGAAGGTAAATCTGAAAATGAAATCTGTGATTTAATGATTTACATGTAAAAAGGTGCGCACGTGTGCAGAAAACGAAAGTATTCATTAGTGACGTCACTCGTGTGACTTGGTAACTTCAGATGCAACGCAGAGCTGCAACCTTGTCCGCGATTTTTTATTCCATTCATTTATCTTCAAATAATATGACTTCGCGGAACACGTATCTCTCTGGCGCATTCAATATTGTCTCAGTCCGAAGAAAATGCGTTTAACAGGTACAACTTTGTGTTCAAGTCACGCAGAGTCTTCGATAGCGTGAAAATAGTTTCGAAATGTTTGGAGATCTTTGGAAAAATCATTAAGCACAGGTAAGACCGGTTCCCACTATTGACTTTGTCATTTAATGAAAGTGACACATTCCGCTATCGATGTGTTTACATTATATTTCGTCTTACAAACATCATCGATATTCAGAATGCTCGATGGACTTGGTGAATTGTACCGTGTGTTCTGAAAGCGAATGGAAAGTATAAACGGCCAATGGGAAAGTCCCGTTAGTTTTTAATTCGTAGTTCGATTGGAAAGTGCTCCCATCGTTAGCTTGATATTTACTTTGAACGTTAAACGAATGTCTTTCTTGATCGATAAACATTAATCGAATACATGTTTTACCAATGATTCTATTTATTTATGTTTGCGTGCTTCCAGGGAAAGAAAACAGTCTAAAATACCGTAGTAGCAAGTAACGGTACTTGGATAATCCTCTACCATATAAATAGAACAGGCAACATTGTAATAAGTAGTTTATTAGATCCGAAATATGAATAATTGAAAAGCAATACCTTTATCGCTCATTTGACTTACCGTGTTGTGCGCTTGACGTTGACTAACCTCCAAGACGTCAGATTGCCGAGGCAATCTGAAATGTAACTGCAGCAACCAATAACGAAAGGAATTAATACTTGATCTCTTTCACGACCTTGAAACTTAACACCACTCATGAACTCCTAGCCGCGACGAATTCTTTACCGACACTATCACGTTAAGAAATATAAAATTAGAGAAACTGAACAACAAGCAAAGAGAAGACAGGAGAGCGGACATCGCGTGTATCAACTGGTGCTCAAACCGCAGCCGAACGACGAAAGTCTTCGATACAAGAACAACCCGTGCCGGTTGACCAGAATGTAGTGAGTGGTTCGAACCATTCGAAAACTGTTTACAGCTTACACCACGATAGGTCCTCGAAATTCATTTGTACGTTATTAGTGACCATCGTCAATTTTTTATTAAGAACTTTATTCAATTCTCAAGAGATTCGCCATTTATTGTTAATAAAGAAGCATTGAGTTGTAACGCACTACTGAATTTCTAGCAGTGCGTGGTATAAAAACACAGCGGTAGAATTGAACTCTGCTGACCGACTATCCGAATAAAGTGGACTATGTATATAGGTATATAAACTAACCTAACAGTGACTGTTAAATTTCTTTTCTACCGATGTATTATATTTTGAATAAATTTTGAAAGTAAATCAAGATCCAGTAATATTTAGTAGTATTCGGAAAGCTTTATTCAATGTTTCGAATTTTCAATATTTCTGTTCAACTAATTTTTTTTCTTTTTCTCTCTTCCTTCTTCTTCTTCTTCTTAGTCTTTTTTGGCTTTATGCCGTCATAGAGGGTCAAGTGCCCTCAAGTGATGAAACATTTTTCAAAAATTGACGTGGTCCACGAGTGTCAAGTTGGCAACGCACTTTCTTAAAAAGGTTTCATCAATAAGCTTTCTCAATACTTCTTAAAAAGTTCTATAGTTCCTGGTCTCGTTCTAAAGGTTGCTTTAGGAACCAGCAGTGAGTAGCGGAGAACCTCTGCCCGCCAAGCTACACGTTCGTGTTCACGTGTAGCTCGGCTACGACGGGATTCGCATTATCGACGGAGGCGAGGATCACAAGATTCTACTTTCGGACTCACCGTTACGATTTAGCGCCATGATTTTGGTATCGCCTACTCATCTCTGTACCGACAGACCTTAGGTTTATACACAAGACTTTAACACTCTAGCGGAAACTAAGAGTAGTTTGCACATATCAAAAGGATCAACAGCTACTGTCAAACACTTATCAGCAGTTGGTAAAACAATGGAATATCACTTATCGATTAAACTCGATACCTTTGCATTACATAATAAACATGATCTAGCTTCAGTTTTATCCTGGTAATCCGAATTATAACATTTTATATTATTTTTTTTCCGATGATTTTACTAGACAGAAAGTATGCGCACAGTTTCCCTTTTGACTTTACTTTATCTTTCATTGATATTATCAGAAAGCGAAGCCTTCGGAAAACGTCGAGCTCAAAAGACACGCTCACACGAAAGTACAAACAATACCCATGTATTTTATAACCCCTTACCGGACGCCAATGCGATCTGTATAGATCCTCACTGTAACTGCGGAAATACGGGTTTTGGAATAGTACAGAAGATACCATATTTGCCCTGGTCAACCTTCGATGCTCCAATCGACATACAGTTTTCATCGGCCTGCGTGAAGTGCGGTCTCTGTCTGACGGTCGCATTTAAAGTAAACCAAAGGAAATTCTCCTCGCAAATTCTCAAATCTTTAAAAAGAGTCAAAACATAATTCCGCTTTTCTTCCAGTTAAACGAAACCTTAACGGAAATCCACAATAGGCTACCGCTTGGCACTTGGCTCAACGATACCGAAGCGACGACACATTTTCAAGAAATCTGTGCCGATTCTTTCAAACAGTAAAATCCAGTTCACGTAATAACATTAACACATTTATTACACAATACGTATTCTTGTAGTCACAGTTTACGTGAAGTCAATGGAAAACGATATATCATCGAGAGAATACCAAGATCGACCTTGGTCAGTTCCACTGCCGATGGACTCTGGGAAATCAAGTAATTTACTTAGCTAACTGTTGCGTAAGTAACTGAATTTGTTAAAGTGATCTTTCCTTTATCAAAGCCTTAGGGACAAGTGTAGACAATTCCTTAAGAACATGGATCCGGTTAGGTTATACAGACACTGGCAGGAACGATATTTTTTCGATGAATCGTATCCAGATATTCAAGATATTCTTTGTAGGTAAGTATAAAATGAATATTTTTTTAAATTCAATTTCATAAACCGAATCTACACTGTAATTCGATTGAATTGCAGGAACGATGATATCTTTCGTGACTGTAAGAACATTGAGGATACACCAGAAAGACATCACAGACCGGACATTGATTTTCGTGCGAATCTCAAAATGAGAGTGGAATTCAAATGTAAATAGTAGCTTCCGTTTTAGCAAAATATTCACTTTACATTTGCTAGCTAGATCGACAAATATCATTGTACAATAATAAATAAAGTATTACCGGTAGAGTAAAAGCTCTTCTACTCGTTTAATTAAATGAATTAATCTTGAAATGGAAATACCGTAACTTCCGAAGTGGATGAGCTATACTTAATACTAGATCGAAAATTACGTTTGGAAGTTGAATCCGTACCTGAAAAAGAATCCGAAGATTAATAATTCTTCTTGCTATGCGACGTAGCTACTTTATACCTTAACAAAGAATATGTCAGTACCTTCCGTCAACTGTTTCTCGACGTTTGGAATCCTTGGTGATCTGGATCTCAAAATCGAATTGTCCATCGGTACGTTTGGAGGGTTCAGGGATTCGTGAGTGCCGAGTAACAAATTTTCAGGAACATTCGTACTCGTTTCTACGAATGTCGATCCCGTAGTATTATCAGGTAACAAAATTGGATTTTCACGTCGACGTATATTGACTCTATGCATTATGTGTTTCTTGACGTAACGCCTCTTGATCCATAACCTCTCGAGGATTCCAAGTCCGAAAGCCGTAACAACACCCGCCACCAGGATCACGTAGGCCGAATAAACGTCAGCGAATCTCGCCGAGTGAAACGTCGTCGGAGCTTCGCACTGTGGCATCCCTGGCAGCATCCTCTCTCCGATCCTTTCCAGTACCCCACGTTCCTTCATACGAAGGATACTGCAACAAGGTACATTTGACAATTTACATAACTGTATACGAACCAGCCAATCGTATCGCTTCGATCCAACAAAAGTTTTTACCTTAAATTAATGATTTTAATATACGGAGAATATTGCGACATTGGCAACGCCACTTTGGTGAATGTTTGCGGTAGTACCAATTCCTTAATAGAACAGCGATCGTGCAGAAGCGTCGTTCGAAGCGCTCGTCGCGCCATGGTGGCGCTTACGAAAAATCCGTAACTACCCTGGACAGCTTTCTTGAGTCCCAGTATAGTATCCAACCGAGATTCCCGATTGTTAAATGCCTTTATATAAAGTTTCCGAAGATTGCTGTCATTGGCGTTCTAAATTTTTTCAATAAAAAACAATTTTAGGTTAACACCACCCGATTTCATCTCTCGTCCTCTTAAGGATACCCACGCGAATATATTCGTCCTCGCTAAAACTGTATCCGAGCAAAAAATTATTTTCCAAAAGATCCGAAAGCGTGCGAATCCCGCTCGCTTGGACGGACAAGATGGAAGTGATGAAGCCGGCATACGCGTTGTAGGTGACCAAAGCGAATATCAAGCTGGACATGAGTACAATTTTTCCAGAAGGACTGACCGGCATCCATGGTGAACCTGAGGAAAAAAAAAAAAAAAAAAAAGTTAGAGCTCTTCGAAAAATATTGAAAAAAAGAAGACAATGATTAAACTAAAAAACTTCCACCTTGCATGCACATGATACTGATACACCAAAGTGCGGCTTCCCCGAGGCCTGCATTTTTTTCATCCTCCAACTGAGCGGAAGCCCTGACCGTGTAATTGATTGCCCCCATTGCAAGTACGATCATTAGATACGTCATGGCGACGCACATCAACAGCTTATTGTTGAAAGGTCGCAGGAAAATGTCGCGCATCGAGCCCGATTCCGGTGGATGAAAGTAAATGTTTCTCCTGTAAAAATAAAAGACATATTTCAAGCATTTAGCACTGGCACTATTGAATTTGTACTTTCGAGCGATCGCTGCGTCATCTGTACCCTGAGTACCAGCGCGTTACATGATTTACCCAGGCCTAACAATGTATACGTACATAGATCGAATAAGTGGATAAGTGAAGCTCATTTCTCGCTGACGTTCGTCATTAATGGTTATGTATCCCAGCCCGATGTCCACGGTACCGGATACGACGTCACCGAACAGATCGCTCCACGCTTTGTTCGTCATTGTTCCAAGTTTTTCGTGGGACACGAGATCGATGCTGAAAAATAAAAATATTACGTGCTGTGACGTTATTTTTGGACGTCACAAAGGTCCCGTATTGGTTACTTCCGTTTTTCAATTTCGGGACGAATTTACGTCCCTTCTTCCAATCAAATATTACGCAACCGGCCACTAGGGAACTTTAAGTTAATATTTTCGTACACAAATATTTCATACGTCACGACCACCTCACCGAAACCGAGCCATCCGGACAGCTAGAAACCCACGGAGGAGGACAAGCAGATTTTACGCCGAGGAACGTGGAGAGCTGCCGTGTCGACCTGACGACTCCACCCTATAAGGGACCCTACCCGACGAAGAAGACGGAGGGTCAACCCAAAAGGACAGCGCCATGGACTCCACCCTACCTATCGGTTTATATCGTCAATACCGATAGTCCCTAGTAATGGGACTGGTAACGAAGACGAGGAGGTCTCGAGTTCCGCGAGACTCCTCGTGCTGAAGATCAACGGGCCCCTGCGTGGAGGCACCGTAACTGGCTTGCCATGGGAGGCAGAAACGATCAGACCTACCGAAGTCATCAGGATCTCAGCCACTATCGTCGAGGACAGGGCCGGAGTCTCATCGCCGCCAGAGGCCACTGGACACCCCGAGCTACGGCAGCGAGACTGTGACTATGTTCCGCTGTTCCGCGTGGCTAGCGAACTCACGACCAGGATGTCAAAGTGTTGCGCTTAGTCCGCGAGTCAAAATTCACGAATCTTAATTGTAGCGATGTTCAAAATGGTGTCCACGAGCTGCAACGCACTCGCGTAGACGGTGAAGAAAAGATTGTTTTGCATTCCTTATGGCCTCTCCTCTACACTGATGGCGACTGAAGACGACAGGATGGATGCGTATAACGGCGTAGCTGTGATGCACCTTGTGATAAGGAGTATTTAGTTTTTTAATTTTCTTTCGAACCAGATGAAACAAATGTCATGTCCTTACATGTGCCGAATTCGTCTTGAAATCCTCTGACAGACAGGCGTAAAAAAATTATATGTTCGGTGGCAAAAAATTCGAGGTGACCTTGAAAAAACATTTAAAAAAAGAGTTGACCAGTAATTTTTCACTATCGCGTTAAAGCTCTCTTGAAACCATGCAAAAGCTGATAAACACATTTTCGATCGGACTGCTAGTAACAAAGTAATCTCCACTGATCACGATCCGTGGTTCACCCTGTATATTACGGGTTAATTCTAGACGCACGTTCTACGTCTTTGCGTATTCGTAATTATTAACTTTGAACTTTGTACCGTGATCCTTTCTTTTTTTTTTCTTTATTTATGCTCTCCTGGCGATTAGTTATTCCAGGTGAAATAAAAGATTAATGGGAACTCTGTGCATAACTATATTATTACTATTGAAACGTTAAGCGGAATGTCGGTTCGGTTTACTTTACTGCGAAATTAAGTAAATCTTTTAAATTGTCTGCTGTGCCTATTGGAATGTTAATTTTTTTTATCTGAAAGTCTAGTGATTTAAATCATCGTGAATAATGGATTAACGAAACAATGTTTTACGTGGAGTCTTACGACTGGAGGAGATTCTGCCTAGGGGACTCATTTACTTTAAAAGGTATTCGTAAGTGGCCCCTCTAAAAAGTCAAGGGTTACGGGCTACATCCATATGTATCGCTTCTTTCGTGTTACAGCGCATGATACATATATATATATATATATATATATATATATTTCTTTTTTGAGAACAATGTGTGTCGAGTGATAAGTGACCTCGCATAATTATCATAGAAAAACTGAAGTTAATGATGGCTCTTTAAATACTCTACCGATAACTTTATCGGCACCTTGGACAACCGATAAATTCCGCGATTTCTTTAATTTCCCATCGATTATACGCGTATGCCGTAAATGGGAGCGATGGCAATTTTGAAAATTATTTATTTAGTAGTGCCGCCTGCGACGCTCGATCCTCTCGTATACCTGGCGTTTATGCTGTTCGCCACGAACGTTATAATTTCAAGAAGCGGAACTATGTCGTTGGTTTCCTCTTCGCTGATTTTTTCCGTCTGCGAATTCTCACTTCCGTTAAGTACTCCGACTATTATGGGATATCCGTTGAAGTCATTGCGCAGCTTTACGCTCACGGGTGGCTTCAGACTGTGAAGACCAGGACTCCAATGTCCCAATGGAGTAACGACAAGACTGGTATTATCCGAATTTCGGATTTTGTAAATGTGAATCAAATAGAAGACAACCGTGTTGTTCTTGATAATGACATAATCCAAATTCTTTTTCGAATTCTCGTCTTGCTTGCGACCTTTGATATTGCGAAACTTGAAAGTCCTGCTGTAGTTCCGTAAGTTGAAGCAAGTTCTGCGAAAAAAGAGATGATTATTATTAATTTTATTTTTATAAATTTTTTTGCGGGAAAAAATACATTTATTTTTCAATACCTATTCAAATAGGAATGAGTGACGGCGGCCGCCTCGTGTGGCGCGAGTGAAGTTGTGGCGATTACCACGTCACTATCGATACCAATATTCAAATCACGCAATAGAGAATCAATGACCGTGTCTGTATTTCTCACGGTGATTAAAAACCATGATCTATAATAGTCAAACAATAACTTCTGGGAGGCCTGTTAAAAAAAGTGAAATTTTGAAAAATTAATTTTGAAATTTTTTCGAAAAAAAAAAAATACTCTACCAATTGCAATACGTTGTCTGGCGACGTGAGATTCTGCCCGTCCAACAGGACGATCGAGCCTATCCTGTCGCGTCTTATGAAAAGTGCTTCCGATAGTTTTGGATTCTTGGCTGATTGGATGGACAGGCTGATTCCTCTGTCTTGCAAACACCGGATGAGCGGCTTTGCGTAATTCATAGCGCAATCTAATCGAAAGATCCGTCAGGTAGATTAGGGTTCGAGAAATGACCAAAAATCGGGACGCTATAATTTTTGGAAATGAGAAAGGAAGAAAAAGTAGTCTGTCGAATATGCATCGGCGATTCGATCTGATAGGTCATCCCGGTAAAAATAGCATTAAAGTTTCGGCATGTTTCTCGGGGACCTTTTGGAACGTGGATGTGCTAAGTGTTGAGTGGGGGTAAGTCCCCATAATTGAGGAAGGTCAAAGCAAGATTCGACTGATGTTGATTACCGTGAATAACTAATTGAATTGTTTGCCCAGTGGTCAATGGCTGTTCGAGCGTTAGCCCGAAGGGTACAATTATCATTGTTTTAACAAGACACGAAAAGCTGAACGTCCACAGGAACCAGTTGCCGAGGTCTTCATTTTCTTCATAAATGTTTTGGCACTTTCATGAATTCAGGCACTTTGACTAGGACATGACTTCGCTTTTACATTTCTCAATGTCTTTTATTTTCTTTAAGGTATATTTTCGTCGCTACTGGATTATAACGTTATCTATTTTATATTGTGTCCTTGTTATCTTAACGATATGGAATTTCGAAGAATTTCTATTCGTTTCAAAGAACGACGGATGAAAGTCGGTCAGAACCACGTGGCTTTAGGCAGGTCATCAAGAAAAGTGCGAACGTGACTAGATTTGTTGACTTATATATATTTTTTAATATATATCCCTCCCCCTCCCTCCCTTTTAATATCTTTTGGTCTCATTGAATTTGACCCTGGGGCATTCTCAGAATCCGTCAACAAGAATATTTCCAAAGAATTCATTTATCGACAATCGTTGGCCGATAACTTTTCTCCACGGAAATACCATAAGGATCTATGCGATGTCTTGAGATAATAGTGCCTAAGGAAATTAGAAAAAGACACAACGCTACTTTTCAGACTATTTTTAACGCGATGTCACAGCCAGACCGGAAGTCAGGAAAGTGCTTGAAAATTATGAAATACCGGCGTCGCTTCCGATTGGATGATTAGCGGACGCTTATCATTTGGAAAAATTGAATTTCACCTCGAACGTTGAGTTTCGTGAAAATTTGTGAAATTAACAATCCCATTTAGTCGGTTTAAAAATTTTTCAAAAATTTCTTAAAAAATATAATCTTCATCCTCTTTCGCTTTATGCTCTGGAGAGCCAAGTGCCAGAAAGAATAAGGTCAGGGTTGTAACTTCGGGCATAGACCAACAGCATACGAATCTCGATGGATACGAGCGAAACGACACGTTCCAAACGAATAAGCTTATTTACGTCCGATCTTCCATAAGGGTGGGAGTAGGTCTTTTCGTTTTTTCGGTCTTTTATAAGTTATTCTTGCCGCATGTAAATTCAGTCCATTTCCTTCGACCGCGCGGACTCGTGGGACCGATCTTCACGAAAGTCAATGACAGTCGCTGCTTTCGAGAGATCGGCTCTCGTTTGGAAGAGGGGTGAAAGCGTGTACGCGAATATTCGCTCCCTTCCTGTAAAAAGGAGCCTTGGGACGATACAAGGGGAAACAAAAGTAATTTCTTCATTTAAAGGCAGGTACGTACCTGCTGACGTATTACCGTAACAGAAAAAAAAACAAGACGAAAGAAAATTCAATGGCTGTGAACGTATTAAAAAAAAAAAAATGAAAGAGAAAAAAAAGTGCAATAAATTTTTGAATTGTACAATTATCCAATGGGTTCGTACATATATTATCATTATTACTCACTTATCGGACCGATATTGTCAAACAGGACAATTTGTTCCAGCGAACGCCATTTGGCATATTCCAAAATCATTTGCAACGTCAGTGGCGTCGGGGCTATACAAATTCCCGTGACTCCATTTAAATATACGCATAAGAACAGTATGAACAATCCAAATTTCATGACTCGTGCTGGCCTGGAACATTTAATTGTATTTAATTACCAATAATTTTTAACCCCACCCCACATAAATTATTCAATCGAATAAAATCCCTAATCAATTAATTACAGGTGCTCCTTATAAAATTATCGATATCCAATTTTATTCCATTATCATTGTGATTATCCCCGTAATAATTGTTCACTAATACGTAAGGTCAGCCTGTTACGCGGTATTACAGTCACAGGAAAAGCGGGCAAGACGTAAACGGCTGACTTGGTGATCAGTGCTTTAAGAATGCGTAGTCTCTGGGATACAATGTCATAATGCAAATACGAATGAAACACGTGACCCGATGCTCGGTGGTTGTGCAATATTTAAAAGGTTTGCTGGCACCTCCTTCCTTCACGCTGCGTCCACTCGGGTACGAAGATTTATCGAATTTTTGTCGGAACAGCTGATACAATTTATAGATAAAAAATAGAAAATAATTGTCACTCGGATCGATTGACTTTAAGCGATAAATAAATCTGTCGGACAAGACCGATAGCTCTTTTTAAGTAAGGAAATTCGGGTGATTAATTTTGAAAATCCCCAGTCTGTAGTCAAAATTGAGCCTGACGTGGGCGGGGGTGGGGATCAAAAATGTTCGACTCACTCTCTGTTCTTCCTTCGCTAATCGCAGACGAATCGACTCTTAACGAATGACCGAGACTTCGCGAGGCTGAGCATCGCGCTATTCTTGCTAAATAAGTAATCAGACATTACTCGCTATTGTTACAGCGCGGACGCGTCTGTGGACGTGAAAAAGGTAGGGGCCTGTTAATTAATTAATCGAAATCAGTCGTTGCCGACGTCAAGGGCACTTTGGTTTTGATAAATGCCAAGGAATATGAGAATGAAATAACGCAGGGACCTTTGCGTGCTACGTCCGTCACGGCTTTTCTTTGCCGTCCAGTATATTGTCTATGACTTGGGTCGAAATACAAGAAGCAATGGAAACTCTAGTCGAAAATTACGTACGTGAGTTCTTGACGCTTTCTTTACTGACAATGAAAATTCCCGCTTAGGTGTCATTACGCTCGCTTAATTGTGCATAGAGAGTTTATGGGCGTTTTTTTTTTTTTTTTCTTTTCACTCCTCGAAATTAGCTCGAGATAGTCATCTGTAAAAGTGGAGTTTGCGCGTGTTTATTGCGACCGATCCTATTGATAAAAGGACCCAAGAGTCCTGTGAATTCTTATTCATGGGTTTAGTGGGAATTTCATGAAACACAGTGACACGATAATGTATGCCGAATGCTAAATTATACGTAGACAATTTTTTAATCGATCCATCAGACAGTCTGCTTCGTAAAGATCATTTTTATGCAGAATACAAATTTTTAAACTGGACGGATCACTTGTAGATCATTTTACATGATCCTTATAGGATACAATACAGGTATACGTGGGATCAATAATAATTTTCCTGTTAAAAATATTTTAGCACTTTTTTGTTTCAGTAGATATTTTGAAAGACATTTTTGCTCCCGACTGTACGTATACTGAAAGGCACTGACACCATTCAATGATTGCGTAACAGTTTGCTTCTTTAAATTTGTTGGTGTTAATTATTGTCGTATTGTCATTTGAATTAACGCTGCTAATTGATTCCACGCTTTGTATTTTAATGAGAGAGTACTCACCAAATTATTTGAAATATATTTATGTGAATTAATATTAATAAGATGGAATTATCCAACAGAGCTGTCAACGGGTAGCGTTTGGAGTTTCAACTGAAATTTCTTTTCTCTACCAGGATTTCAATTTTCAATAAGTAAATTGGCACTTCCGATTATTGAGTTGCTGTATAAAGCTTAAACAGTATTTACGTAGAAAAGTCAAAGTGGTGCCGCAAGAGCTGCCATTCGTAGAAAGACAATAAGTCAAAGTGTGGATAAGTTGAAAGTGTAACTAGCGATATTTTTACTGAAAGCAAAATGCACTCTGTGGGATATAAATATTTTGGAGTGTACGGTGTCGAACGGGTTGTACTCGTGTGTACCTGGCTTGCCCATAGCTACAGGTAATTAATGCGCTTTGACGGCGAGGCTCTCGGTGTCAGCAATGTGCTGATAAGGCAACTTTAAAAGTTGGCCATTCGACATTTACAGTAAAACTTGATGAAACTGTGTCCACACGTAACGTGCACGGTGAGCAGTTAGGGTCTCCGTCCAAAATTAAATACGATATTGATTTTTTTTTTTTTATTATCCACCCTAAACCTCCTCGGGTACTTTTAATTACTTTTTAGTGCACTTTTTTTTTCTCGTAAACATTCGCATGAAGTCCCGGTGGGTATACCCTGTTGATCAGGGAAAAAATTGGCTTTTTTAATTTTGAAAAAAAAAATAAAAAAAAACTTATTGTGGTGCTTGCGTGCGTGCGTGTGGTTGGAACCTTTTTTTTTTTTACGGAATACGAAATACTGTATGTAATTCGTTTTTCAACGATTTGCAGAGAGCCTGCTGTGAAAATGGCTCCCAATATATCCGGTGAAAATCGTTGCGTCGACTCCAAATTTGAGGTGCAGCCAAACGAACTCGTGGAATTGCCAGAAAAAATATTGGAAACCGAAAAAACAGAAGGAGTACTTCCGGTAAAGGAAACGAAGGGCGAAGGATGGTTCAGCTTCAAAACGGAGCTCATTTGGTTAAATATCATCGCTATTAGCCTTGTGCATTTGATAGCATTTTACGGTATACTGACCTTTCCAGTTTTCGAGTGCAAGTTGACCTTATTGTGGGGTAAGTCTGATACAAGTTATTTTATCAATTTAAAATTAAAAAAAAATTGTACTAACCAAAAACTCATCAGGAGCACCGCTGTTGCACATTTGTCCTTGAAAAATATTTTTTAATCTCGTAAAATGACGACAAAAAATTTGCTTCTCGTAAACCACGCGAAAAAAACCTAATTAAATCACACATTCGTATAATCCAAATAATTCTCCGAATTTCGAGAGATTCGTCAAGTGTCACTCCGGGACACCGTAGAATCGTATACTGATGAAAAAAGAAACCAAACTATAGTCAAATCGAAACGTCACTCGAGTGACACCTAATAAATAATTTCAAGACTCGAATAGATTCATCGGTGATTTCTCTATTGAAACTATACAAGAACTAGACGCCATTCGTCCCATTGACAAAGTTGCTTGATTTTCCTTTTCAAGCGACAACCACTAATCTTAATTAAGCCGACACGCAATTGTCAAAATGACAGAACTTCGGTCACCCTATAAAATGGCTATCCAGAGTTTCGTACACCCCAAGCACTCTATACTCGGACAGGAAGTACGAATAACCGTGATTCCCTTTTTCGACAGGAACATTGTTGGGTCAGCTGGCAGGTTTTGGGGTCACGGGGGGAGTTCATCGTCTCTGGACTCATCGATCTTACAAAGCGAAATTGCCGCTCAGGATAATTCTGCTCGTCTGCTACGCGATGGCTGGTCAGGTAATCGACAACGTCGTCAAATTGGATTTAATACTCCGAATTGTGAAAAATAATTATTTTTTCAAAAAAAAAAAAAAAAAGGGCCAAGTACGAATAAACGTTTCAGAACACCATCTACGACTGGGTGAGGGATCATCGGGTCCATCATAAATTTTCAGAGACCGACGCCGATCCGCACAACAGCAACCGCGGCTTCTTCTTCGCTCACGTCGGCTGGCTGATGATGCGCAAGCATCCCGAAGTCATTCGCCGAGGTCGGCAGGTCGACATGAGCGACATACTCGCTGACCCCGTGGTCGTATTCGGAGAAAAGTAAGTCTACGTAATTGTAAACTCAAAAATGCACGCGTTCCGATCGGCACGTAATTAGCAGCTTGTCCCCTTCTTGTATTTCACATATACAATATGTATATTCGAACGAAAGCCCGAGGTCACGCGGCACGATATATTTTGAACTCCGAGTTTGGATTATCTCGCTTAGGTTAGAGGGGAGTCACTGGCCGCTTTCACGCTTGATCTTCTTGACTGCTTCGTGATATTGAACGGATAACGAATTAAATTCATTATTGCGCAATTTATGTACATTCTACATAATTTATAATACGAAAAAATTCGCACGTGTTAAACTATAGCGATAACAGTACGAATATTTATGATTATACAGTTCGCATAGATGCTTTTCTTGAAACGTCACATTTCCATTTTTTTTTTCTCATCAAGGTACTTCCTGCCGCTGAAGCTTTTCTTCTGCTTTATATTTCCCACCTTGCTTCCGATCTACTGCTGGAACGAGACTTGGTACAGGTCGATCATGGCTCAAGTTTTCGTTCGTTACATCTTGACCTTGAATTTCACATGGTGCGTCAACAGCGCAGCGCACCTCTGGGGTACCAAACCGTATGACAAGTAAGCTTCTTACCTGAAATATGAATTTTTGAACGTGTCCTATTTATTTGTCTATTAATTGACTTACCTCGGGTACCGAAAACAGCAAAATTCAACCTGCCGAAAACCTTGGCGTTGCTCTCGTCGCGTTGGGGGAGGGCTGGCACAACTACCATCACGTGTTTCCCTGGGATTACAAGGCGGCCGAACTCGGGAATTACAGGGTGAACACGACCACCATGTTGATCGACATGTTCGCCAAGATCGGCTGGGCCTACGACCTCAAGCAACCTTCGAAAGACCTTGTGAAGCGAATCGTCGAGAAGAAAGGCGACGGCAGCCACCCCCTATGGGGCGAAGTGCCAGAACCAAAGGCGGAGTGAGGCAGAGAGGATTTACTTTTTTTTGACGAAATTTCTGTTGCACGAAATTGGGAAATTCGAAATCAGAAAATGGCGCAAGAGGATGAGAAATAGAATAGCACGTGGGTAGCACGAGTGCGAGATTGATTAGAAAATGAGAACTTGCAAAAAAAAAAAAATAATAATAACTTGAATAATGATGAAATTTTTTAATCGATTACTATAAACACGTTTTTTTTTGCTTTTTCATAAATTTATTACATTCCCGCATTTTTTTTCAAATTACCACTTCACCCTTATAAGCTTTTGCTCCTTCCTCTTTCTGTGCCACTTCCGGTTTACGATTAACAATTTCTTCAGCTCAGGATTTTATAGTTTCTTTTGTATTGACTATAATGGCATAGAGCTTTTCATTAAGAGCCAAGTCTTCCAATGGTGCGATTAGTAAAGTGCAGCATTTTAATAAAAGTGTTATACCGTAGAATCGCTATAGGTCAGTCCATGTTAATTTAAACGAAAGCTACTTGCGATAGTAGTAATAGATTATAAATAAACGTATAATCAAAAGGGTCAGAAAATAATATATTTATTCAAATAACAAAGATAAGACGATTATCTGTACTAGATCATACAATAATTGTCTAACCTAACCTAATGCAATAAGACTTGGAACATAGATAATTAAATTTTAATGTACAGTATACAGTGAAGTTAAAATTATCGAGGTGTAATTAGATCCACTATTTTGAGATAGTGATAAATTATCAACGCAGCCATGTACTTCTCGAAGTACAACCCACGCGGTTCAGGCATGCTTATCTTTGTGCAGTCTTTAATCGTGTGACAGAACGAAGTGAATTTTTTCCAGAGATAGAAAAAAAAGAACAAAGTTCATTAAGCTGATCACTTACAATTCAAATGATGTTAATATTAAGGTTAAACTAATATACATACATATTTATGCGGCTATCTTTTGCACGATTAAAAATTGAGCTTGAAAACGAGTATAAATTTATCGCACTGTTATTCCCGTCATTTTCTGATATACTGTCTAATAAAAAATTTAATAATGCGCAAACATAACAAATATTGCCAATGAAAAATAATATAATAACCATAAAATCGGGTTTATTGACGCATTAGCTAGTTTAGAGCAAATTAAAAAACATATATGAATGAATTTATCTCGTGCATTTTTCCGATTCAGACTTACGCATGTATGTCAGTGCTTGCGTATACCGTAAGGATGAAATATGTATTGTTGAAAAATATTTTTTCTTAACATCAGCCGATACGCATATAATGAATTTTCACCAGAAATAAAAAAAATTAACGAGATCTATCAATCTGCATTTGGCAGATTTTTCCACTCTTGCAATAATCTACATAAACATATGTATATTATCCAAGCACGTGTTCGGTGATGCGTAACAATTTGAACTTTGATAACACAGACCGAATCGTCTGTGTGAGTGCCGTCCTGAGACATTAAGTGACCTTTTAAATTTGTTACTTATCTTAATACAGAAAAATAATTATTCAACCTTCCGATGCATCCTGACACTGAAATCTGACATGGACACGATAAAGCCGATCGACAATAAAATAATTCAATCGCCAAACCAAACTTGAATCAGACCTTAAAAGAGGTAATCAAACTGTATGGCGCGAAAGTCGGATAGAAAAGTAAAAAAAGGAATTGATTTAAAGTTGGTTATTTCAGTGACGATTAAATGTAAATAAGAAAAGGAAGAAGACTATAGAATTGTATGCGAATAATGAAATCACGATGCAAGTCATTAACACGTATGTCAATTATTTTTATACCAGTCGAATAATAGCAAATGGGACATATAGTAGGCACGTGACGCACACAAGACACGCTCTCACTTATGATTAGCAGTGAGTGACTCCACGATCGAGTACGAGTCCGTCACGTGTAGTCATACTACATAACGAGATTTTTAACTGCTGGACTTTGGATTTCCTGCATGCATATTGGCGATACTTTTATGACTTATATCGTCCTCTAGTATCTTCTCTGGCAAAAAATTCTCCCCAGAAGTTAACGATGACTAAAAGCGTTATAAAACTCACCTACCGTGTCGTGCATGTATTTCTCCAAATTTCTACATACATATCTACATTGAATGTCTCAGCTATTCGGCCAACGATAACTAAGGTTATGAACCGGCATTGATTGTACACACTTTGCGCCTATTGTTTATAAAACCAAGTTCCAGACGGTCAACAATTGTTCAATTGCGATGACTGCTGAGGAATGACATGCTCGATCGTTGGGCTAGAAGCACATAGTCCAGCAGAGAAAGAGAGGGTTGGAGGTTGAGGATGAAGCTAAAGAAAGAGATGGCACGAGGCTTGGCAAGGGGACTGGTGGCAGGAGGCCTGAAGCAAAGAGGGAAAGAGAGATCACGCCATCGTTCCATGACGAGGATTCGGCGTCGACTGGTCGACTGGCATGGCAGGCATCGCCTGATGCGCAGGTTGGTTGCGCAAAACCTAACCGAAAGGAACCCTTAGGTTTAGTTGGACCATGCGGTAGTATAGTAAAGGTACAACTGTTGTAGCACCCTCGTTATTTTTGCCCCTTTAGGCTGTGCTTTTTTCACGTCTTTCGACCCATAGATTTAACGCTGCTAAAATTGTAAAAAGTTAACGACAGTGCCTGTCAAAGGTACAAGGAGAATAAGAACACAATATAAATTTAATAAAGGACATTAGGAGGTAAGTCAGTTTTTATCGATTTGCACAGACAACATTACAGTAACGGATCTGCATCCGAGGCGGAAGAAGATCGGCTTCGCTCTGATTGTTAGTTTAGCTGAGTGAATTTCGAATGGCTTGTGCTCGCCATGTACGTAGTCGATTGGAATTGGTGAAGATGATTATCTGTTTGGTGGAACTAGGTATCGTAGCATGTGCATCGTGAATGCTCCCCGGCGCTGTAACAATTGAGTCTGCCGTTCGCTATTTTTCCGCGTAGATAAATTCGTCATTATAATTCGCAATGACAAGGTCACTCGTTTTCTTAAGGAACTATTGACCCATGTTTCCCATAATCCGGTTATTCATTAAGATAATCGCGTCTTTTAACACAATGCCAGGACATTAACAAATCGTTAGAATAAATCTAAATAAGCGACTTCAGAGTGCCTACGTACATAGACGTGTACGAATATGATAGCACGTAAATGGTGAGTCGCGTTAATTATATTCCATTTTTAAAATGACCACGTAGATACAATTCGTTACGTACCACCTGTTGCATATATGCAAAAAAACTACGGGGACGCTACTCAGCGTCGCGACGCTTCTCACCTTATTTTTAATTAGCTCCAAAGTCCACACTGACTCATTCTCGATAGCATTGGAAATGCCGAGACAATACAATGGATCGAATATATTCACTCTAGTGTCAATTATTTTTATTTTTTATTTTCGTCCTGCATTTCATTCTCCAATAGTCTTATACTTGATATCAATTTGCCTTTATCCCGTTTCTTCATTTTCTCGCAATCATCACTATAAATTTGCCCTATCATCGTGGCTTCTCATGAAAATTAACATAATTTCATCACCTTTTACACGTAAGGACCAGAAGTTCTCCTGTCATCTGAACTGTCATGCATATTTCTCAGCATACGCTTGTTCGATAGGACTGATATGTTTCATGTACACTATATACATGCTCCGCTAATATAATTGCTATCTAAATTGAAAAGATAATTGTGTTAGAATAAGAAAGTACAAGAATTTCAGGCGACTCACGCGTCGATTTGAAATAAAAACTTTATATACATAAATTTGCAATCGGGGTCAAATCGGACGTGGTATATCTTCGAACAGTCAACGTATTCAACTCTGACTGGTTGATCATAATATCGTGTCCACATGACAAAGATAAGCGTGGAGCAATAGAAAACGAAAATGGCAAGCTGACGATACAATGAGTGATTCAGGTTCCGGCCGCGGCGTGGCGCTGATTGGCAACCTGGTCCTGGGGTCGCGAGACGCAAATCATATTTAACTCTCGCCGCGTGTACCGGCGATTCAGTTGCTCGGCAAGTCGGCACCGTCGGTGCACCTTTTGCTTACGCCCTAGTTATTTGTAAAAACGATAGACTCTGGTGTGTTCTGTTAAAGTTACCCTTGATCACTTCGATTCTGTCATTCTTGTTCCTTCTTGATTCACGGATTAGGAGATCGTTGCTGCAAGGTACGTTTGAAATTCAAATACTTTTCGTACTGTACAATAACACAGGGAATCAGAAGTATTCTATTGGAAATGTAGATAAGTGTTTTGTCTTTCAAAAAGAAACGTTAGACTTGTTTGCTGCGACTTAAACGTTCGATTCTTAACGGATTGAAAGGGTTTCACATCCTTTTAATAATTACCGGTTAACGCTGCTTTCAAGCGTCAGGAAAGGTTAGGAGTCAGACGAATCAACGAATCGTGCAGTTGTGTTGTGATTGAAATATTTTTTATCCAAACAACACATAAACTTCAGTCTATCCGACATGCGGAATAACGGAAGCTTTGAATATTTGAATGTGCAGTGGTACTTACTTGTCAATGTAGTGGTCTACAGTAGATTGGCATATGTTTTATGAGATTGAATAAGTCTCCTAGAGTCCTGTGTAACGGATGAAAGAATTTTCTTAAGTTGTCTCTCACTTCGTTGTCGTTCGTCAATAAAATAGAAGTTGAAAACTGCGTCTAGTATACTATGGTACCAGCAAGTATCTATTGCGTCTGGTTACGAATTTCGTGGAATTTTTTCTGACGTAAAAATAAAAGTAACTACTGTTGTCGCACCTAGTACAACTAAGACTACGCGATGACAACGACGTATGGTGACAAAAGGTCCTGGAGACATTTTTTTCCCTTGCCAAATCAATATCATATCCTTTGAATATGCAGACGTGTCACGTGCTTATTAATTTGTCCGTCTCGATGTAAACCCGAGCAACAAAGTAAGAACGTTTCCATAAAAGCTGAAAAATTCGCTCGCGTCGAAACTGAACCTTTTCTTATTTAAATTTAATGGAAATTTCGAATCTCGGCAAATCTGTTTTATTCCATAGCCACACAACCGGTATTAATGTATAGCGAGTCTCGAGAAACCAGTTACCTTATCCTAGCACAATACATAGAGCGTATTACGTCACATAATACAGAGTCACGCAAGCGGAGATGGAATAGTAAGAGTTTTAAAGAACCCGGGTACCCACTAAAAGCGGAGAGCGACAGCGTTACGAAATTAATTTCGTGCTCAGTGAAAATGTCGAAATTCCACAGCTTCGGTTAACTTACTAAATTTTCCTTCGATCGTGAAAACTTTCCTCGGTCTTCCGGTTTTTTCGTATTTATATGTTACTCGCGTTATGCATATTCGAAGCGGACACGTCATAAGTAAATTAGCTGATAATCAATAATCGTTGGATTTCATTGTCATCCACGTCCGTCTCTGTTTTCTTATATTATACATGAATGAAAACAATGGACACGTCCTTCCATTAATGACTCATAGATATATACACAATAGCATGTTCAACCTCGCACGTAGCTGTAACAAAACTTAATCTTGTACACATATGTCCGATTGGAAATTCGATTTGTTGACGCTTCAATTTTACATAATTTTAAACCAGGATGCAATAAATACCTGAGGTCAATACGAGCCGTTTGACATTGCCAAGACGCTGCAAAGGCCTCACGGCTAATTTCTCTAGTGCGCGATCGACTGTGGGAATACATGGGAACGGACTAAACGTTTCAAAGTACCTGGTGGCGTGCTCTTACTTCCGTTCGTTGAACCCCCGTTAAGCGTTCATTGAAGAACGGAAGCTCGATCCATCTGCAAACCGTTGGCACCGTCAGTGCTCGCAGGCAGTTTCGTTCGGACAGATACCATCTCGCTGACTATCATGGTCAGAGTTTTACACATCGTGGTATCGCGGAAGCCAAGGAAGAATCGGTGGTTTTGTCTATGAGGTGTGTTTTGTCTATAGAGGTGTAACCGACAGTCGTGATTGCATGGGTCGCCGAGGGGGCGCTGTAGTTCGTTTGTGTTTAAAATAACCACGAGGCGGCTGCAGTTTGAATGAATTTGCGAAAAGTGCGGAAATGCTGATTAGAAAGGAAAAGAAAGAAAGAAAAAAAACGTACAAAAAACCGATTGGCGACGATGCGTGAGAATTATCAGTTGAGGGTGAAGGTCGTGAGAGTCGCAAGGAAAAGGAGATTAGGTTGCGTAAGAATCGAGTGCTGCTCGCGAACCACGTGTTCTGTCTACGGTCAATCTCTCCGATCGACCAACGTCGCTCGATTATTATGATTATATGCGCTGCGATAAGAAAGCTCACTCGAAATAGTAAACAGTGGATTATTCCCGATAAATTGCTTTTCGCAATGATAATTTCTCCTATCTCTGCCTTTGTTTTTTTCTTTCTCGTCTGGGGCAACTGGCTCGCGTAGATATGTGCACGAGGTGGTGGGGGTGACATTTTTGCGCGACCACGTGTTAAACTCGTGTGACAAAAAAAAATAAATAACGGCAACGAAGTGATTGACTTATTGAGTGCCCGCCGCGTGTTCGCCTTTTACTTTGAACCGTGTCTGGATATTTCATAAATTTTGGATTTCCTCGACTGTCGGCTACTTGAGTTACCGACGGGCCCGTGTTTGAAATTACATTGAATCGCCTAACGTCAGAAGCGACGTGAAATTAGAATTAATAGGAGCCTACAATTTGGTCACGCGGTATAGTATTGTATCACGTCGCAAGAGAAACCGGATCGAGACGCGAAGCAGGTTCGTTGCACGACGAATCACGACGAATTTTTCGTTAACGAGGAAAGTCGCGCTTCCGCTTCCGGACGAACTGAACTCGAACGGTGGAAAAGTTATTTTAATCGCAAGCATCGCCAACGTTCTTTCTCGTCTCCGTTGTAATTTTTGGCAGTGACCTCCGGCAAGGTTTATTTCGTTCTGTTGCTATCCTGGTTCCTCCCTTCCACCATCTTTGCGTACTTATTGCACTGACTTCCTCATTTTTCCGACTTCTGGATATCTCGATTTTATGTTATCGGTACCTTTGCGTTTCGACTAGTGGAAAAATACGATAATATTTTTCTTCTTTGAATATTCCAGCACGTTCTCCGTTCATTGCCACCTGACCGATTTCAACTATTTATAATTGATTCGTGTCAGAAGAAGAAAAAAGAAAAAACCTTTGGCTGCAATCCGAAAATGAAGCATCGCGCGCGAACACGGATTCCCCGTGTCACAGCGAGCTAGTCAGGGTCAATATTTATATTGGAAGCATGAGCGTAATTGTCATTGGAACGTGTCGAGCGATCCGTATAGAGGCAAGGTCGTCAAGGTCAACCCAAGTGAGAGAGACACTATCCCAGCTCGTACGATCCGATCTTCCCACATTATACCGACCAATCGCCTGACTTCCCTTGTGTCTCAATAATTTAACGATAAAAACATCGTGAAAATGGTCGTTACGTAATCTCATGAAAAAATCCTTCCGCAAGCTCTGCGAAATCACTATTGCAATATCACGAAGTCTTACGTAGCTCATCTCCGCCGATAACAGTATAACACGATACTGGGCCACTGCGGACTGTTACCGCGTTACGGCCATCGCTTACCGCTCTTCTTTCGTGCCGTTAAGAATCTATATAGCGTGTTGCTACTCACTCTCGAGCAGCGCTCTGACGGCCACGTAAGTAATTGCCGCAGGAGGCCCGTTTGTGCGATACACAGGGGGGAGTGGGACACCCTGGTACGTAGAAAAGCGTGCTTTCCGGTCGGCCCACCGGATTCGCCAAGTCTAGGTGGCGCGAGTCGGTTCCTGCGTTTCTATTGGTCCGCCAGACTCGGCTGACGCGTCGCCCGAATCACTCGCCCGGTACGATGTCGCGCGCCTTTCCTACGTGCACGGAGGCCTTTACTGCCTTCGCTCTGGCGCATCGAGCGTTCGACGCTCCTGCCGACGTTCTACTTTGCTGCTCGCTGTCACTCGCCTCCGTTCACTCCGCTACTGACTTCACTCTGGATCGTCTCCCGCTCGCGCCTAGCGAAACTAGACTCGACCTGGTGCTTTACTGTACATATATATACTACTTCACACTGCGCTGTGTATTCAAATGTTTTGAGTAGAACAAGCCTGTAGCATCTGGCTTGGCAGGATAGAACAACGGAGCACGTAGACGTACGTAACAAGGAAAACGTAAGTTTCGGACACGTGGATACGATCTCGTTACAGACGTTCGATGGCCTGATCGTAAAATTGTTTTACCACGGTATGACTGTTTTCTTGAACTATTTAATCGGCTGACCGTTCGCTCGCTCGTCGCACCATTAATTATTTCGATTTCTTTATCGCTAGCTCGTATCGATCTCGTTGACAATGTTACGATTGATATATTGAATTACGAATTACATAATTTAGTAACGATCGTCTTCGGGCTTCTTCAATCGAGTTTGTTGCACGACAATGCAACTGCTGTTTTTCATTTAATAGAAAACCGGTTATTGGCGTTCAATGTTTCCCATTCATAACTATCGTTTGTTTTTTGCCAACCTGGAAGTTATTCATCGATTCGTATGAGGTTTTTTTTTTGGGCAGAGATCAACGACTGTTGGTCGCGAGGGAAAACTTTATGCAATCTTGTCTCAGTGCTGCTTTCGGAAGCTGTGCAGCTTCTAACGATACTATCTGCGCGCAATCACGCGGACGATCCTTATCAGTGTATCATCGGTTATTCTAATTATTAATAGAATCCAGGCGCACTTATCGATGCATCTCGTACCATTCACGCGAACCTTCGACACTCGTGCATGTTTCTCAATGCGAATGGAATAATATGCGCATAGAAAATGCGTGTTAATTCCCAATGGTTTACAGTAGCTGATTATTCGATTGGCGTTGATCGCTACTGCCAGGAAATATTGAAAATAATTAAAAATGTTAATCATCCTACTGGGAAATCGCACCGAACGACATTTGTTGACGCTGTCCATGCTAACTGTTGCTTTTAAATGCTTCCGACTGTACCGATACTTTTTTTTATTTACATAATTCGATCTAGTCGCACCTGCGACAACGTCTTGTTTTCTTATCTGACGGTAAATATTTAATGAAAAGATTTGCTCAGATTTTGACAATGATTCATACTGCGGGTTACAGGATCACAGATCGAGAATCTCAATCGAGTCTGGTATCTTTGTCATCGAGTCGTTGAGAATGCTTAGAGGCAGGTCGGTGACTGCGATAAAGATGCATAATCAATGTCTGGTAATTTTTCGCGTATAAATCAGAGGCAGCGGGTTTCTTAGTAACAGCACGTACGATACGAGGTTGTGTCGAGTGACGTGAAAACAGGTGTAAAATCTATAATTAGTTTATCGCGTTATCTTTTTTATTATTATTTAGTTTGTCGGCTCTCCGAGTCTTCTTATCTTTCTTTCACATTTCAGTCAACTGAATTTAATTCTTTTTCCTTCTTCCCGCACGCGATTGTCCGTTGCGCGACGTCGCAGTCCAAGCAGCGTCAACTACTCGCTTCCCGCAGTCGCGCGTTGCGCAGAGCCATGAGGTCGCTGTCTTATCTGTTCTCTTAACGGGTACCGTGACTCGCACTCTCCATTTCAATGCCAAGGTCGGAGCTTGAGGTTGAGGTTAACCGGCCTAAGCGGCTAATGCCACGCGAGTGCAAAGGCGGGTCAGATCAATAAATTTGATGCTGAATGAGGATAAAATATTTTTGAAAATTTTTTTCACTTGGTCGATCGATACGTACGGAGTGTTTGATCGAAAAAAAATTTGTAGCCGTGAATATTTGAAGATATTAAAAAAAAGGGGTAAACGTGTACTTGAAATCGAGGGTAGCTTTTGAATGAGCTTGGACAAAGGAGGCAGCTATGGCATCGGGCAGGATCGGAGAGAGAAGGGATCAGCTGATCTCGAAGTGGAACGTTCGAGTCGGCGGTCCAGGAGGGGAGGGGAGTGCGAGTAAGTGGAAAGGGCGCTAGCGACGCTCGGCGTCCCGGCGCGAGTCTGCGCCCCTGGCGCGTCCTCAGGATTTGGCCGGCAGTCGATAGGCGTCCTCGCCAGGGCGAACCTCAGCACCAGGTCCTCGATGTTCTTTCCATCAGCATGTAAACTCCTAAGACTCATCGCAAGGTATCCCAATCGGGCTGCTCGTGAACCCTTTGATCTTTACTCTTTATAGTTGGACCACCCGTTAGTGATTTTTCGGATACGCGAGTGCTGTGCTAAATTGTCCATTCCCTTTATGGGGATGACGAAGGGATGGATGCGCCTGTCGTCCGTCGCATGTACTTTCTGGAAGCTGTTGGGCAAATCCCGATGTGCCTTTGTTCTCGAGTCTTTTGACCTCGAGCCGAATTTCTGACGTCTGACGAGCGATCCGAGCTAATCGTCGACTCTGTTGCTGCCGGTATAGTCGTTCCCTGAAAATCTTCCATTCTTGTAGAAACTCATCCTACGTCATTTGGTCAAATGCCGGTCAGCTGTTGGACCTCTGCGTGTTACTTGTCACGTTTACGTTTTATATATATGTATTTTTTATAAGATCCGACTAATCTCATCAGTCGTAAAATTTATATATTTTTTCTCCATACCGCTTATCTTCACTCGTCTGCCATCGACCTGTCGCGTGCTTCCTCACTCGGCGTTGCCAAATTAAACGTCGCTTAGTACGCGCTATTTTACAAGATTAACCTATCTCGGATTCGATAACCGAGACTGTTGGAATGAGAAAATTCTTGACGGTCGTATTATTTACGGGTGATTGATAATTTTTAATTAATTATAATCTTCACTCAAATCTCAGTCGCTCGATCTTCTTTGGTGTCCAGTTCAGTATTTATTTAATCGCTTGTTCGATTTTACGCATGAAACATTTGGATTACGTAATAAATTTTCGTATCTTCTCGATTGTTCCAGAACGAAAGTGAGGATGGCACCGAACATCACGAGCGCACCGACCGGGGTCCTTTTCGAGGATGAAACACTCGACGAGAACGCGACCCGTCAGACGGCCGAGCAAATTTCCAAAGAGAAACCGAAATACGTGAGACGTATCGTATGGAGAAACGTCATAATATTCGCCTACCTTCACCTTGCGTCCCTCTACGGAATCTACCTGGCAATTACTTCAGCCAAATTGATGACCCTTATATTCGGTAGGTTAAAATCACATTAGGCTCTGGAATGACCTCAATGCAATATTAGCCGGTGATATTTATTACTATCATGTAGGATATTACATATGGCACTGTCTATACTATAGTTAGAAATACGTATATCTATATTGTACGCGTATAGTCTGTCGACAAGTAACGCGAAGTCTAGGTGACTCTTTTACTTTGAAACTAATACGAAGTTGACCCCTCGATAACACGTTCCTAGTAAACAGATTATACGTATATAATGGCTAGTATTATACGTGGCTGTTTCTCTGTACAGAGACATGGGGGGGTTGTTGCCCTCCCCCTTAGGCCAGTTTACTCCGGTTAAATGGTATAAGGGTAGTATTGCATATACGATGGGTGGAAACTTGGTTAATTTGGCATGCGACCTGCAGACGTCCTTGAGGAAGGAAAAAAATGAGATGGGAAAGCCGAGTTGGAATGAGAAAACACGTGGAAGAAAAAATTGATGGACTTTCCGGCATAATTTTCTTAGCTACGAATTTTCCATACGAAACGTCGTTCACGGCGACTGATACGTAAGCGAAGGCTTTACCGAGCCGAGGACGTCGCGAGGCTCCCCGTGCAATTAGCGTTTAGCTAATTAGTCTAGTCGTCTGGCTGAACTGGCGAAGAGCGCCGAGTGCCGATTAAACTTGGACTACCGAGGAATTGCGCACCTGTTGATAACCCGTGGGCTTATCGTCAAGTGGCTAAAGTCACGTCGCTCGGCAATTGCATGCTTAGCCCCATTGCAGTTAATTGTAAACGCGCACGTAGCAAGGACAATGACGTTTACAATGACAATGTCGATTTACTCGCGTATCTGCTCTTCAGTTTTGCCATCGATCGTTGACACGAGTCTTTTTTCTTTGTATCGACTCTCATTTGAATTTCAATGAATCTAAGAACGCGCTGTTACGTTTCGCTCGGGAATGACTCAGAATTCGTTGATAGCAATTGATAGCTGTAATTGATGTTTGCTAGTAAGGCCCTCCACGCGGAACGCTCTTTTGTACCTTTCTTGTTCCTTTGCGTAACGTCGAGGCACCCCGTGCCGGGATCTGACGATGTGAATCGGTCTTGGGCACAATCTTCGTTTAACGTGGAATACATTGTCGTCCCATCTATGTCATCCTTAAATTCTTTTACTCCAGACACTTGCGGATGCCGAAGCTTTACACGTGGCACGGGCCAATTGCCAAAATTGTGCAGTCTGAGAAATTCCTTGTATCACCGTGACGGGAAGTACTTTTTTAATGGTAAAAAGTCCCGCTTCACGGAATGTCCATTTTCGGTACTAACGACTCTCGCAGAGGCAGTGGCTGTCCAAGTGTAGTGCCTAAACAGTCGAGTCTCGATTTCGAAATGGAAATGCAAATGCAAAAAGAGGGTAAATATGTGCCGGACTTTGTACCAGCGTCTCAATGCACAACGCGTGTCTCTGATAGAGTTCCCCTGTACGATCGATTTGAACAATCAGGAGCCAAGATGTCGCAGGACACGCGAACAACGCCATACGATTACGTAGACACGTGTCACGTGGAGGCACGTGGTGCTACGTCCCCATATCACGTGCTGAACATTTCTACATGTCAACAGTTTGTGCGCCGATAATAATTGAACTTTTATTTCATTTGCGCAGCTTTCGCACTTTATCAGTGCTCCGGTTTGGGGATCACGGCAGGAGCTCACAGATTATGGGCCCACAGATCATACAAGGCAAAGTGGCAGCTCAGACTTATACTCACTGTGTTCAACACTCTGGCCTTCCAAGTAAGTTTCTATGCTTTTTTAATATTACCCTAAATTCAAACATTGAGCCTCTTTTTTTTTTGTATTTTCACTTTTCGCGACGGCAATGAGCTTTTCATATTTTTTTTATTTGGGCCCCTTGTACTTTGTCAATCGATTGACTGTACCGAGATACGAAGAAGGCTATTGAATGTATCAATGAACAGTGAACTGTCACGTGTGATTTTCGTATATTTTAATGCATATTTATTTATATAATTTGCAGGATTCTGCGATAGATTGGGCCAGAGATCACAGGGTTCATCACAAGTACAGTGAGACCGATGCGGATCCCCACAATGCCAAAAGGGGTTTCTTCTTTGCCCACGTGGGGTGGCTGCTGTGCCGTAAACATCCTGATGTCAAGGAGAAGGGAGAGGGAATCGATATGAGTGATCTTGAGAGCGATCCGATTCTTGCCTTTCAAAGGAAGTGAGTTATGGTCTTTGTTTTTCTCGATCAGAATGATCGATCGTCGATTTTCCCACGGTCATCGATAACAAAGACGACGCGTAGATTATTGGCTATCGTGTGTGTAAATTTTTGTAAAGTTATCAAAACCTACTTTACATAGTAGATTTTCTTAGTCTCGTATGGAATACGTGAACGGAGGTAATCGAAAACTGACTTATAGTGCAGTATTTTCCCACAGAATATAATGGATAACGGAGATACTCCTTCCTTTCAGATATTACATATACCTGATGCCAGTGATATGCTTCATGCTGCCCACTGTAATTCCTGTATACCTGTGGAACGAGACCTGGACGAATGCTTATTTCATTCCGGCTATACTGCGTTACACCTTCACCTTGAACATGACGTGGCTCGTCAATTCGGCTGCTCATCTATTCGGCGGCAAACCCTACGACAAGTTAGTCACTTCTGCTTATAAGTTTTCTACCAGTTTCAGGAAGTTTCAATTGGAGCGCGTTCGTTATATTTGTTTTTCTCTCTCCCGGTTGGTACGATCTCTTTCTTCCTTTCCCTCAGATTCATCAATCCAGCGGAGAACAAGAGTGTCGCGATAGTCGCCCTTGGAGAGGGCTGGCACAACTATCACCACGTCTTCCCCTGGGATTACAAGACTGCCGAGCTGGGTAACTACAGGTACAACCTGACCACTGCGTTCATCGATTTCTTCGCGAGGATCGGCTGGGCTTACGACCTGAAGAGCGTCTCGTCGGATATGGTACGGAGGAGGGTAGAGAGGACGGGCGACGGAAGTCACGAGGTTTGGGGCTGGGGCGACAAGGATCAACCACAGGAGGAGAAGGATGGAGCCATCATCACGCACAACACCAAGGACCAGTAAATCGGCATTACTATGTCTCCTCTCTCGTGTCCTGGACATGTGATTGCTGTATAACTTCATTAAGTTTAACGCCAGAAGCCTCTCGTCTTTGGCAGCCGTGTTGGCTCCAATCGAGATATCATTTTTTGTGCGAGCATACTTTTCGAAAAAGCGTTTGTAGACTCGAGCTTCTTGTTAGAAATTTCGGAAATTCAGTGCGCGCGAGGGCGTGTGTGTAAGTGTGTGTGTGAATCTGCGAAAGAATAAGGAATGAATGCGAGATTGTTGGAATCAGTGCATAGCGCATTACGTATCATCGATCGGTAGGATGTGTCACTAAAAGTTTTGCGATCGCTCCAGAGATGGCGCTGGGAGCATCGAGTCAAGTCACTTAGTTCAATCGCTCCTGTGAATTCTCGACGGTGCTCCCGATGACAGATGGTCGGCTTCGAGATTCAATGTCGGTGTCGATGCCGATCGAAAATTGTCCGGCATCGTTATCAGGAGGATCGTCGATTGTTATCATTATCGTGTAATCATCGCACAAGGAGTTCTATGGGTTCAGTAATCAATCACATCGTCATTCTCTTCTCTCTAACTTCTCATTCTCATCATGCGTAGGCGTACTTGCTTATTACTTTCGTTAGCTGTATCGGTAAAGTTTATCTGTCATTCATGACTTTCGAAGATCGTTACATGGGATCTTTCGTTCGACGTTTCTCTCGAGAGAGGAAAACACTGGGAGAAAGAGTACATCACAAAAGAAATGACGTTTACGTAGAAAGACTCTTTGATTGCATGTTTTTGCTTCCTCCTTTATTGAAACTATATTCTTTTTCACCAAAAAATAATTGCTCTCGGAGTCTCGCGAATAGTGGCTTAAAGATTTAACTTATTAGATGTGGACCAGTTGCAAGGCGCTCATAGCCCGTTGTTTCGAGAATGGCCTAGAAGGGATACGAGGTCGTCTGTAGCAGCTTCTTTTTTGAACTCTTTCTTCACTTTTGTTTAACCTCGTTTACCCGTCGCTTGCGCGTGTGAGTTTATTTAATTTTCGATAACACTTTTTTCTTCAGGGTTATGTAAAAACATTTGAAATACGGAAGAAGCAATGTTACGCGATATTTAATCACGCTTTTGCCATCTCGTTTAACTCACGGCACTGATTTAGTTCATATAAGTAATTTATCTGTCCTCTCTTTCTCTCTCTATTTTATTTTATCTTTTTTTTTCAAGTTACTTAAGATCGCGACGGAGTCCGCGAGAAGGAGGAACAGTGGACGTTTTTGTAAATAGAAACGGAGAGGAACGGGAGCCGCGTGCGACTGACTATTTATTGAATATTGGCAATATCTCTTTATTTTTTGTTCTCCTTTATTCCACTTTTCGCGAAGGAGCCATAAATTTGTCTCTTCTCCGTTGGGCTTCTCCAAGACCTACGTGTTAAGAGTGCATGCCGGGAGATACTTGTAGAGGCAATTGGTCCAAGCAAGATCAATGAAGTACAGGTTTCACATCGGATATACAAGGTCCACGTTGTACGTGTACATATAGAAAGTAATTTATTTAGCTAGGATCTTAACAGGGATTATTCAAAGATTATTTGAAGCTGCTCACGTACCTAGCACTTTCCTTTTCCCCTCCGAACCGGCAATCACTTTGCTCTTATCTCTCCGTTCGGTAAACGTCGTTTCCGTTTCTGACATCCAAAACAATTATATTAGCCGCTGATTTCTCTTACGTCCCCCCACGTCACACTTTGCCATCTTTGACCTTTTTTGACGTCCAGCACCGTCGAGTGCTTCACTCTCGTGACTGGAATGTGTACAGTCGATCGAGAAAATGAGCGCGGCAGTAAGCAAACACGTGCCGCAAGGAAACGTGGGGAGGACAAACGTGGAAGTGGCGACAGGATTAGCGAAATTTGGGGTAAATGAATTTAAAAAAAAAAATTTCTCTTCGAAATATGCTCGACGCGACGCATCAGCGTTGCGAATGGACGACAGTGCTCGGAATGGTCGAAGTGAACGAAAAAGAGGAAACTGAAGAAAGAATTGACCGAGCCTCCGTAACCTAGTTGGGGAATCGATGATAGGTAAACAAGTTACTCAGGTCACACTCCACCCGAGAGAAATGCGTTGAACGTCCGTCGTGCGTTAACATGCGAATCGAATGTGGACAATTCGATCAGAGCAACGAACACGATACGAAGATATAATTTAAAAAAAAAAGATATTTCACGGTGAAAACGTAAATACGCGAAGCGTCGCGATTTCGCGAAGAATCATGGATATTTAAGAAAAAACATAACATCCTACTTTCGACTTGTGGATGAGCATTATTATTAACTATGCGTAATTACATTATTGTACCGTGTATTATACGATGAATATATGATTAATTAAAATAAATATTGAATAAAGTATATTTTTAAGTAAACAAGCATCGCTTCTTCGTACTTCCTTTGACGAATCCTCCGCCAACCCTTGACCTTTCGATCGATTCTTCCGCTCTTCGGTGGATTGTAACGGGAAAACGCTAAATGAGATTTTCACGTACGACCGAGCAACAACACATTTATTCCGGCTGTCATTACAAATTTCTTTTGACAGTCGCCAACCACGTGGACCAGTGTCATGATGTCTGGAGTAAACAAAATTTTAAAGAAACTATTGCTACTGTACATGGCACGTGATTGCTATAATTTTCCATCCATAAGAAACTTGTCGTTGCTCCTTTCTCTTTTCTTTTTTTTTTTTTGAGATCAACAGTCATTTTTTCAACCATGATGATATCTTAGCTTAGCCTTCTTCGTCTCGAGCTCAGCCAGTCTCTCCATTTCGTCAAGTGCCTGCTGAAGCGTCATCTTGGACGTCGCCATTTTTCCTAAGACTGACCTAACGTCCTCGCTCGATGCGGTTTTAAGACCGGAGACAAGACCAAGAATCTCCCAGATCTTGAGGACGAAGGTGGTGCAGCCAGAATCGTAGCCACCGAACTCCCCGCTTTTGCTGTCCCAGGGTAGCAAGTAATGATAATTCATCTGATACGATTTATGAAGTATGAAGACGGTATTGTCGTCCGCTGGGTATCTGCAATCAATGAGTAATGAGAAAAAAAAAGAGGGACTTAAATTCTGTCAAATTATAATTTAGGGCAATGACTTTGGTCACTCGAAGAGAGTCACTTGGGGATTCGAGAGAAATGAAAGAAATTTTTTGAATTTATTACTATTCTTTTCTTTTGGCTTCTTTTCTATCTACAAATCCCTCGGTTCGATCCGCATTTATTTACTGTGCACGCCACTGCTGTCTATCACGACTGTACCGTGACTTTTGGGCATTTTGAAGAAGAGTCTATAGAGAAGCGCTAATGTATCAAAAATGGACATTAACTTGTCTCCAGGATTCATTCCCCAGATGTGCATGGCGCTGTTCACCAGCCAGGATAAGTTCAGGGTGATGGCAAGTCTGGCGAAGCCCAGGATGAAGACTGAGTTCTTGATGGATTCGTCCCAGTATTCGGCAGGTGCGTTTATCGGTAGGAGCAGTCCGACGATTACGAATAGCGGCCAGTAGAGCCTTCAATAAATTGTCTCTATTAAATAGGGAATATTGTGTATTTCAATTAACGATATATATATATAAATGAAAAATACCTTCTTTGTATCCAAATCAATCCGTCGGAATCGACGTCGCGCATATCGATAGTCTTTGCCAGAATCTCTTGATCGGGACGAGGCGTCAGGACATTGCTGACCAAGTGGCTATAGATAAATCCCTTTTTGTGATTGTAGGGATCCTTGTCAGTTCCATAATACCTGTGATGAAGTCTGTGGGCCAAGACCCAATCGTAAATGGAACCCTTGGAGGTTTTAAATAAAATTAATAAATTTTTGTCAATAAAATATTTTCAAATAAATTTTATCAAGATTATACGTACGACTCCTGCCACTGTGTGTGCAAGAACCAAAAATAATCTCACAATGAAAGAGGCCTGGTATGACTGATGGGCCCAGAGTCTGTGAGCGCCAAGGGTAAGTCCCAATCCAGCTAGGAAGACGATAAAGATAACTGGGGGAAAGAAAAGAAAATTAGAAAAATTTGTAATATTCGAAAAAGGCATTTTAGCCGTGATATCTTACCGAAAAACAGGGTCAGCCATTTGGCCTCGAGGAACAAAAGCACGAGTCCGTAAAGACCCAGAGCGTGAAGATGGATGTACCATAGTACGGTTATCCAATTGACGTCACGCTTCTTCACAGTCTGATCCATTCTACTGATCTGATCAAAGAACTCTAGGACACTCACGTGGCACACCTGGACACTCTCTTTCTCGTACTACCGAGCACTCTGCAAACTCATCGACCGACAATTGAAAAACAGACTGAATCGAGCCTGTGCGACGCCTCGACTGATTTGCTTAACCCCACGACCCCTTTCGAGAATAACATTATGCTCAAGTGAGCATTTACATTGTCATTTCCTTTAAGGACAATGACTACTATGCTGAAACGAAATCACACGTATATTTCGATAGCTTTGATCGATTCGCTAGAAATATTGGTTATCTAAGCTAGAATCGTTTGAGAATTATTTTATTGCGTTATAAAATCTTATCTCGTACCAGACGTTGTTTGCTATCGTATAAAAGAATGGTAAAGGATTGAAATTTCAGAAAAAAAATTTTGCTGGTTAAAGAAAAAAGATTCGATGTACTTCGCTGTTATAAAATCGATTAATATCCAAAATAATGACTTTATGCATGATACATATACATAGTGGTCTCTTTCGGTATAAAGGTCATACACGTATGAAGTAGACTGACGAAAGTCTTGCATGTCAATATAACCGATTAAAATTTATTTGTCTCAAAAAAAAACAATATTAAGAATTAAGATGAAAAATTTCATAGGTGCTGGTATACACGAATAAGGCTCGAACACCGTTAAGTCATAAAATACAATTAGACTGGTATAAATGTGTAATATATATATTGTGAAGAAGCTGCCGTGAAGTGAAGAAGTGAAGGAGCCATCCGAGGACCTATCGAAGAACAGACCTCCTGAGATAAGCCAACCCGGTGCCGGGTCCAGCCGCATCAACTTGACCCACCGGCGCACCCGGGACGGGGTTCTTCTGCTACTTCCGCTGGCCAGCCGGCCAGGTCGCCAAAGCTGATCTCCGTTGATCTCCATTGTCGATCTAAGGAGGACCTGTAGTACACGTCAGGAGAAAACAGCGTGAGGTCCTCTGCGTTCCCCGACCCTGCGCTCAGCGTAGAAGACCCATCGTCCTGGCCTGTCCCCGTAAGGACTACTGTACTGAACCTTGCCTCGCTTCAACTCTCGGACTAGGATCACCACTTGCCACACTTTTGCCTACCGTCTTCAAAATTATGCGCCAACGTACCGGAATTATAGAGTAACTCTGCCATACCGACGAAATTGGAAATTACCGACCAGGGATAAGGAAGTATCTAGCACGTAAAAGTATTAGTCAGACAAAGTTTTTCAGCATGAAAAAGTTCAGACGTACACAGTACGTCACCAACTGTCACTAATGGACTTTTGTACGAATGTTTGCACCATCTTGCATCTGCATGAGTATCTATAGCATGCAATAAACAGAGAACTACGTGCTCTCAGCGCGCTCGGTTCATCTTCGAACGCATCTGTCACAGGTGTGTGTGAACCAGTCTTTCTTTTGCGTTCCTCTTGCTTCGGCTTCGGTCTTTATCATGGTGGTGTCGCTCTTGAAGACCAGTCTTGAAAATTTTGTCTATCTTACTTTTGGTCTCGTCTTCTACAGCAGCGGTGTCGCCCTTGAAAACAGGCAGGTCATTAATCTCGTTAGCTTTTCCGATTCTCTTGTATTACCTTGGCGGTTTCGCCATTTGTATTTCTTTTATCTTTCTCTATCCCTATCCTCGTCCTGGATTCTCGAGTCCCAAGATAGAGTCAGAGAGAGAAAAAACCCTTCGACTGTTTTGAAAAACTTGCCCTCGTTATCAATCTCGTTAAATTATCGAAGGATCATACAAAAAATACGTTGCAATATACAGTGATATCCCCCTAAGTTTATCATTACTCAACTTTCGCTTCCCTACTGTTTTTTGGAATGGAAATATTATATGACATTTAAATAGCACTTTATCTCAAATGGGAGTGTTCCATAAGTATTCATTTTTAGAAACTTTAAAAATCACGCGTGAATATTTAGAGAGATAAAACACTGCATTTGAAAATACGTTGATATTATCTATAGACTACTTATGTAATAGAGGTTTTTTTTTTTTAATCAACTTGCATGGTCATTCTGAATGTATACATATAATATATATACACAAATATATGTAGATTTAAATATTTCAAAGTTTCATAAGTGTATACTAAACGCTATGTGTACAGTGTATATATTATTTTCTCAAAGATTCGCTTGTTTGTATACAAAAAAGTCTAAAAGCTTATCACAAAGAAGGTCACCGCATATGTACGAAATTCCCGTAATTTATACAGCCTAAGTTTTTCTTTCGTGTTGGTCGTTGAGGTAAAATAACTGCAAGCTCGTAACTTGCTGATACAATAATACAATACGCTACGATAAGAAAGATTAGCCATTTTCGCGTCATGCAATACTTTACCGGGCATGCACACGAGTTCGACATAATACTTGCACACTTGCAGACAAACATACACGTATAGCAGAGTGTACCGATTGAATATTTAAGAATCAATTAGTAAACTGCGAATTAGCGCATTTAATCGTTTACTGATTAAACTGATATATTTATAAATATTTTATATTTAATAGTTACTGATTAAACAGATGTTCCTAATATATCTCTTTCCTTATTACTGATATTAGCAAAGCAGACGTGGACCCTTCGTCTCTGTGCATTATCCTTTTGTGCGGGCATTTAAAAAAATAATAATAGTAATGCCAAAGTATCATAGTCGTGGAACAAATAAGCGACGTGTATCTACTTTTTTTAGGTATTGCTGCCAAATCGGCATAAATCATACGAATTTGAGTCAGGTTTACTTGAGAAGCAAATTCTCTCCCGTTGTCTTAGATTACTTTGTAGAAGTCCTTTGTACAGCGCCCAACGATACCACTCGTAGGAACGAAAACGTCAAATAGTTTTCAAATACATGGACGTTGTGTTCCCGTTTCAGTTGGATTATTTGCATCCAAGCTTTCTCGATCTTAGGATCCCACTGCACTCCAGGCTAGAATTTCTTCGTGCCATGGCTAAGGCATTGAAAATATATTTAAGAAGCTCTCTTTGGCACGTGACCAGAGCCACGTGGATGGCTTGCTTGTCATTCGCAATACAATATTTTTTCTCCAATTTTTTGTTTGCTTTTTCAAAAGGCTTTTGAGTAAGGTCTAAGAACGAGAATGAAAGTGGAATATTTTTAAGACAACACCTAAATAAATAGTCTCGATAAGTATTGTTCGTTTGAATGTCAAAGTTGAGATGAATTAATCTATTATTGTCATCATCTTATTAATCCTTCTTGTCCATTGCTTCCAGCTCCTTAAGATCCTCCTCGGGAATATCCCGATCGCCATAGCCCCACACGTGACTTCCGTCGCCGGATCGTTTCGCTCTTCGACGCACCATTTCCGGTGAGACGTACTTGCGATCATAGGCCCAGCCGAGATACGCAAAAGCGTCGATGAATCCCGTCGTGATGTTAAAGGAGTAATGACCGAGTTCGCCGGTTTTATAGTCCCACGGGAACACGTGGTGATAATTGTGCCAGCCTTCCCCAAGAGCGGCGATGGACACGGCAATATTTTCGACCGGTGAAATATTTCTGAAAATAAAAAAGAATTATTAAAGTCTATCGAAAAAGGAAAAAATCTCCACCCAAGAGACCCTTCATAAAAAAAGAGCTCTGAGATGATCTAAAAATGAATTCTTACTTGTCGTAGGGTCTCTGTCCCCACATGTGAGCCACGCTATTAACGAAGAACGCTATGTTGAGCGTTACGGAGAACCGGAAGTTGAAATTTACCCAAAACGAAACCCACAGCGATTCCGACCAGAAATACCATGGCACCGCAACTGGGAATCCAATGGCCAAGAGAGCGAAGAGCGGCACGTAGAGCCTGAATTTGTCGGAGTAAAAGATTTATTATTATCATCTGACAAAAGTCCCAAGTTACACGGTGCAAGCGAGAGAACCGACCTTTTCTGCCACATGACGATCGGATCGGCTTCCAGGTCGCTCATGTCGACGGCCTGACGCTTCGCCACGACGTCAGGATGAGGCGTCGTGAAGAGCCAGCCGACGTGGGCAAAGAAGAAGCCTCTCTTGGCGTTATGGGGATCGGCATCTGTCTCGCTATATTTATGATGCACCCTGTGGTCCAGGGCCCACGTGTAAGCGTCCCTCTGTAAAATAAAGAGAGACAGGAGGAATAACGAGGAACGTACGAATTACATTGACGGAAGAAAAATCAATAATAAACATACTTGGCCTGTTATGGTAAATAAGAGGACTAGAATAAAACGCAGCGGCCATTTAGCTTTGTATGCACGATGCGACCACAACCTATGAGCACCTGCAGTTATCCCAAAGCCAGAAGTGTATATCATGAGGAATGCTGTATTAATAAATAACGATAAGCAATTAATAAACACCGTAACAGAGGATAACTCATTTGAATAATATTCAGACACGTTAATAACAAAGATATAACCACGTGCATGAATATCGATGGCTTATCAATAATACGTAACCCAAGAGTGATACAAATAATGAATAAGACAGGAGCTGCATTAATTGGAACCTACGTTGACCTCTTATGTAACCCCTTAAAAATAGCTTATCGACTTTTGACAAGCTGCCTTCAGCTGATCCAGAAGCTTCTTAAGACGTTCAATCGTCTGCGACGCCTCGTTCTTAGAGCTGCCCTTAAAATGCCCTTCGGAATTTACAGAAGCCAGTAGGACCGAGATAAGGACTAGCTACAGTCGACTCTCCGTAGAATCGCGCACCCGGGACTCCGTAGAACGATAATCAGTCAGAGAGCGACATTGCGGAGAGTCTGCCCTGTGTCCGGCAGAGCGAGGGAGAAGGAGAGTTTATTAGCCTCGAAATACGCAGCGGTGTATTAGGAATAGGGAAGAGTGGGGGAAGCCATCCCCTCTCCTCTCCGTGGCTTAGAGAGATCAGGGGAAGGCGCCACTATACGGAGCAGCGTCTTTATAGCCAGAGTCGACTGTAGTCCGAAAGAACGCAACGCCCGGCGTCGACGCGATATATGGGGAATACGAGAATTGCGTGACTCGAATTTATATACATATGTACATACAAAGACGTCGTGCGACTCGATAGAGTCCCTCTAGTCAGAGTCCGGCCAACACTCGGAAGGGACGCCATCTTAAGGGCTTGTTTGGCGCCACCATGACATTGCGCGAGACTCGGTCGAGTCTCGCGCCAAGTACAGGCAACCCGCCGTACACGGCTTGACGTTACCCACAGTACGCAATGCGAATCTCTCCCGTATACGTATTCACACAGGCCATTCTATTGCGGAAAGAGCCCACAATATGGCGGAGCCAATCACTAAGAAGGCCCACCGTTGGCCGGACTCTGACTAGAGGGACTCCACGTCTCAACTGTTGAACCCTCACTCTGGTGCCATTTTTTAACGTCCTTTTAGATCTTAGACGTAATTGCAATCTTTTTTTCTTCAATTTTAATCACTTTCGATAATACAAATTTCTACGGTGTCTATAATTGTGATTATAATGGTACGGTTTTGATCATAGTTTTTGTCTATATAGAGACACGTGTTCGAAGTATCAGACGAGTATTATTCATACTAGCCAGACACAACGGTTTTTGTAATAAATGCTCAAAGGAAACGTCGTCCGGCCCTTTTTTTACTACAGACGGCACTGTTAACGTGGCTCAAAAATATTTTTTATAGATTTCTCGTTCCTTGAAAACATTTTATATGCCTATTACGTCACTATCATAAAACTTTACGTAATTTCCTGGCGACAGATTACGGGATATTCCTTGGGCATTTGTTAAAAAAATAATTTTTTAAATATTTTTTTAGGTATCCGCTATCATATATCATTTTATTCGGTAATATGTTTTGAATTGTTTTTTTCACAATAAACTTAATCGCTATCAAGCTTCCTGACACTTGCGAAACTAATTTTTTCTTGGCATGTTCATGTTCCGATAAAATTTCAACAGCACCGATTACGGAGAAGCTGCACGAACCAAACTCTTTGTAAAATATTTTTGGTTTGCGAATGAAAAATAAATGTTTTTCTTTACTAAACAAAAATGTTTCAACATACCCCAAAGTGACGTAAGCAACTTGGCCTGTGTGAAGATGAGGTAGAATCCATACACGCATCCACCGTGGATAAACACCTGTGCTAGAAAGTCCGGCCACTTGATTTTAGGAACGTAATCGATTCTCTTCGAGTCTCGATCTTGAATCTTCTCTCCGTTGGCTTGACAGGTATTCATATTTTTGTCCGGAAGATCAATCTCCATGTCAGGCGACGAAGGCGGCACTCTTTCTCCGCCCGGTGACATTTTGCACTTACAAAATATCCCCCCGTTAAAAAATTTCACAATTCCACAACAATCATTCGCGAGGAAGTACAATAAGTTTCTTTCTTTTTTTTTCTTCGATTTTCAAAATCTTCCTCTCAAGTCTTCATGCTTCGTTCCCATATAGACCTCGTCTCGGTTTCCGTCGTTGATCTGCAATTTTACAAAGACACTATATATAGTATATACACATTAGGCATATATGAATTTCATGTATGACATAATCGACGCGATATCATTCTGCTCGCACCTGTGAGACGTCTAATTCCTCAATGGTCGATTTTAGAAGAAATCGAGACGGTAGTTATCAATGGGGGGAGAGCATGGGGGGTGGAGAGTGGGAGGAGCAGGAAGATACCAGCCAATGAATAAGGTTAGCCAACATCGTAAAGATTCCCATGAGCGATCGCAATATGACTTTTTGATAATTTTGATTAAACTGAAAAAGTTCACCTTGGCATTAGAAGAGAAAAATTATCACGAAAACGCCGATAAGAAAATAATTTATAGTGACTCACCGGACATATTGTTTTATCTACCGAGCTATCCGCAGGTGTTCGTTATCATTTTTTATTTCAGGGAACCAAGTTAAATGCTACATACGCATACGTATAAAATGAAAGTGAAGTCACGTTTTCCCTGTGCTATTCTCCATTTCGTTTGACTTTTATTAGATTTTTTATTACGATTCGTCACCAGCTACGACTTTATCGACCGTCTCAATATTATGTGAGGAATTTTCAATTCATAGTGAAAAAATATGACCTTGCCAAACCGCTTGTCAGGTTTATGTACAATTTCAAATATTTTCTCTTCTCAACGTTTATCAATATAAAAATGTGCTAAAAATGTACAATTTTTCTCGTTCCTGATTCCGTATACACTCATTGTCATTTTGGTACGTAGGAAGGTTAACGTACTGCACACTTTTTTTTTCCGTTTTTTAAACTGTATAACGTGTCTATCCTAAACGCAGGCTGTGTTACATCACAATACTCCACATTCACGTTTCTCATTAAGCCAAGCTTATTATCCACGAGAATATACGACTAGACTTTAATTACACAAGTGCATGAAATTGGTGGTATTGTATCCCGAGAGAACGAGTATAATGAGATTAATGAAAATTAAATTTTTCTTAATATTTCTCAAACTATCGATGATCCACTTGTTTTTATCAAATACAAAAATCATACGAGATAATTCCTATGGATTTTATAAAAAATTTTATTCACTATTGATTTCATGAAAAGTTCTACTTTACCGACTGACGATACTCTTCTAGTGCTAACTAGTCGTAACTTCTGCTTAAAGAATATTTTCTAAATGTCGCCATTATTGCGTTAATTATCTACTATCAAGTAAATACGATTAGATGAGTAAAAGCCACTGAGTAAGTAATTGAGTTAAGTCAGTTTATGATAACGAATGAAATAATGATTGAGTTAGGAAGCACGTGCGATGAATCCTCGCTTAGCACCAGCAGTATTCCAGAATTCTAAAGGTGCCTTCTCACCGTTCACGTATATTTATACATACATCAAGTCCCGAAATATTATTGGTAAGTTTTATATATGGAGTTATTCGTGATAAGCGCGCTGACTGAAGTTGGCCACGGTTCCGTGACTGGATTGATCAGAGCAGTGTGGCATCGATAACCAAATTTTTTAAACGATATGTTAACACGACAAGCTTTACATTTTTTTATTTGTTACCGTGATCACACTGATTTTTTTGTCAATACCACTCGAGCATTAGAAAAGTTTGGTGCTTGTTACGTGTAGCTTGACCGAGAGGAAAGTTACTCTTAGGAGCATATGAGTGGGTGTTATGATCAAGTGCTCGATTACGCTATGATGTCACTTTTGAGCATACGTGACCAGGAGTCCACATACGTGTACGAAAATACAATGTTTGGTTATTTTGTTATACCCGCGGTCGGTATATATATATATATATTCGTCCTTTTGAATCTTAAAATATTATTACGCGACGCGAACAAGGCAAAGCCTGACTTTTAGGTTAGGGCGTACTGCCATAGACTTAATTTCTTGTCTATGTGAAAATGTTTTATTCGTCCTTGATTTTTGTATGTCGACAGGACACGGTTTCTCCTGCTAGAATTCACTAACCTTGTCCAGGCGTTCGACCTGCAGTAAGGATTTCGCGTTTTCTGTCAGAGAGATTAGAACTTCCGAAATACGGAAGAATGTGAAAAGTCGAAAGAAAAAAAAAAAAAATTAACGAATCATCGCATTCGGTCAGCAAAGATTTGGCAAAAGGAATTATGGTTTCGTGCTGTGTTTCGATTGACAATATTTTTTTCGGAAAATTCGGTCGGACTTTTTTGCAAATTGCGTGCAGCACGCATTTACGTACTCGAGTATTGAATGTGCAATGCAAAAGGAATTATGGTTTCGTGCTGTGTTTCGATTGACAATATTTTTTTCGGAAAATTCGGTCGGACTTTTTTGCAAATTGCGTGCAGCACGCATTTACGTACTCGAGTATTGAATGTGCAATGACGCATTGTGGGTAAATAATAAACTATAGAACACGTTGCGGACGAACTGTATATATGCAGGCTCGTTCAAATTGGTTTTCTGCAGTGGAAATAAAATGGAAGCGTTAATTTCAATTGCCACGTGTCCTACATATTTTCATTCAAATTGGGAAACCCTTCGCGTTCTATTGTTTGGTAGATTCGATCGTTCGAGCTTTAAGCGTCGTATAATTTTTGGGGATTTTTTTTTAAGACACCCGGTACTAGACATCGTAACGTTAAAGGCACAATCAATGGCGCTATGAGGCTTTAGAGCAGCAGGTGTATATTTTATATCACGGATGGCCTTTGGTACAGTCGGGTCCGTGAGTTCCGCGTGCTTATTTGACAGTTCTCAAACAATGCAGTATGTACCTCGAAACTGACACGTGGGTTCCCTATAAAATCACGGAAACGTATGTTAAACAACTACATTTCAAACAACTACATTTCAGTGTAAAACCATGTAACGGGTGTACACTTTGTAAAAAGGATTTTATTTCGAGCCACCGTGTCGTTTGTTAAAGCATCCACCTATACATATATATGCATTTGCCCAAGAATCGTTCTAGACTTATCGAAGAGATACTCGAAAAAGTCCCTAGGAATATTTTCCAGGGGAAAAAAAAATTCCTATAAAAAATGTCCTCTCAAGCATTCCCCAAGGTACTATAATACTCTACGCACTTATTGTGTGTATTCGGATTTTACCAAGGATCGATCGTCCCGACGAAGCGTCTTTCATGAGACCTTATAAGGAGAGACGCCAGGCGTCCCGACGCCTGTGTAACCTTAATTCTCCCATACGCATGCATTGTGTCACGAACCCAGTCCCACCTGTATTGACTGTTTCCACAGTTGATAACGTGACCCCTTTTGGTATATCGAGATAAAGGGGAAAAAAGTCCTTATACGCCTACACTGTGCAATATGGCCGACAAGATAAGGACTACCTTCTTTGCAGGGATTTAAGGTTCGATTCTATTATTTCATTGATCGTTAATCAAGTTTCAAAGTGATAAGACTGCCGAATAACTAGCTTGGCTTTTTCAATTCCCAATGAAACTTCAAGCGGTTACATATTGAATGATATTTTCGTCACCCCCCTCTATTACTCGAACGATGCTATACTCTGTTTATTTCTAGGGAATTTCTTTCCATATCCACTTTTTGGTGACCGAGATAATCGAAAATAGATATTCTAATATAGATCCTAAAGTTCCTATGTAGATGCGAGTGCTCAGCCACTTGTATATATGTAGCAGTGACTACGTCATATCTAGTGACATATGGATAAGCTGGTTTCATATTCGTATATCAATAGAGATGCAACGAGTGGTTCAGGAACTACGGCTACGTGGTACGTTCACGGTAGAGAATTTTAGGAGCAAAACGAAACAGAGGAATTTGAGCGACTAGGGAAATATACCGGGTGAGTTGATACGTCCGATAATCCTATAGAGTGTATATCGATCTGATAGCCGTTATTCGCTTCATGGCTGGTTAATTAAATTAATTAAACCTTTAGTCCACTGAGTCAATTAATTTTCCTACGTACACTGCGCGAGGAACTTTAACGCTAGAGAACCGACGACTGATAATTAATGATTATAAGAATTCCCAAATAACTCATTTTGATGACCCCCGTGCCCCTGGTAGATCTAGTGTTAACGAATTTTTAATTTTTTTTTTCATTTCATACTATTTCATTGAAGAATCCTTTAATGAAAATAGTACGGGTAACATGTGTGATTTTGAAAAATTGATATGCGGCATTTTGTGGTATTTGAAAAATATTTGGAACAACGTATCGATATCCCTGAAAGAGATTCACAAGGGTCACCTTGCACGACAACTGCACGTGTGACTGTGTCTGAAATGTCTTTCTGCGCGACACGCGTGCAACATTTAACCAGAGGTTATTGTGGAGAATTTATAGTTCATGGCTGAATCAGTCGCTCGGATCCTTCGTTCCTCGTGGTGGTTCGTTGTGGATCGGGAAAAGAAATGAGAGAGAAAAGATTGGAAGATCACGGTAGGGGAACTAGGGACAGTTGTATTCATCCGATGAATAAATATGGATACTTATTTGTAAAATTTATTATACAGGTGAGAGATTTCACACTGCTGGCACGAAAGCAAATGATTTAGCAGGTTTTAAATCTGGGAACGACGAACATTTCTTAGTCCGGTTAAATCGTCCAATCTTTAATTACGTAACGTGCCGGTTTTGGATGTTGAAAAATAAATGAGAAAAGTCAATCCACTCGCGGGATAACGTTGAGTTGTGATATATCGGTTGAAAGATAGAGGTTTATGAACTCACGTGAAGCGTCGTAAAAGTAGAACAGGAGACGAACATGACAGAAGGAGAAAGCATAAAAAACGTTGAAATGGAATTTTACGAGATCCTGACGATAAAAAGGTCGTATTTTAATGTTTGCTTCTCATTCTTCTTATCCTAGTTGGTTTAATAGTTACTCCGTGTCCTTTATTGAAGGTCTGCCGTTTTTTACAGACGAAAACAGCAATCCGATCCTGACCGGAAGAAGCTTCCGAGAAAGACAGGGCGTGCCTTATGACGACCCACGCAAGAAGACTCATGCAAATCTTATGCAACAACTTGAGTCAGAGACTGAATTATGATTCTGGTCAAGCGAGACTCCAGTTCCGACATTTAAATTCCTTGCGGTTATGTATATTTGTTTTATACTTAGGAAACTAACGAAGCACGTAGGAAACTTCTGATATGGTTTTAGATATTTTGATTTACAATCGCGTTACTGTATTGACTCACACGGAAAACAATGCTACAGATATTTAATATTTTTCCGTTTTTTTTCTCTATACGCACCACTAGGTAGAATTCCTTTTTCTGTGACAATAAGACGTCCCAAGCAGACTCCGTGCTAAGTATTAGAATCGCATCATAAACTTAGATACACGAGAAACATTATTTAATATTTACACAGACATTATGTGACTGTGCAAAGTACCAAACGTTCAAGGACCAACGAGATCTCATTTCATGTTTAACCTATCAAAGTATCACCCAACAGCCAAAGAATTCAAAGCTTTCACTAAATTAAAATCGAACAAATACTAGTCGTAGATAGATATAAGGCCCAAAGGACAAAAATTAAATAGAATTAGAGAAAAGAAAAAAGGGAATAAAAATCTCTCGACACCGTCGTACCCGTTAAAAAAGTATAATTATCAGCCTATGACGTCACATGCAACGATATACCACTTATGTCTTATATGTATGTGCATGTATACGTTAAAATAATCTTATTCGTAATCACTGTAATATCCACTATCCAATATCCTCTTTCGATGATACCAAGCACAAGGCACACTTTACTTTAAGGTAGTATGGTAGAGTTTGGCTGAAGTCAAATCAAGAGCCATATATAATTTATTAAATTTTATTTTGAACCAACAGATCCAACCGATTGAGCTCTTTCCATTAGACATTAAAATAATGTAGGGTTAACTTCATACCATAATTCTACCATACTACCTTAATGTTCCTCTGTATAACCTTGACTCTTTATCTTATCCTTTTCTTCGCCGTCGATTGTCCGGTTACGCGTAAGATGGTTGAAATGCGTGGATACGAGTATCACGCGTGCACACATGTACCAACGTACACGCAACGTACCGAACGACTGCTCTTTCCTTCGAGCTCTTTCAACGTTTCGTTCTTTTCGTAGTTTCGAACTGCCGTGTGATACGCGGCACTACGCGTCTGCGCGTCTACTAAACCGTCAGAAACGACTTCTAGCCATGTAGCGTGGGTATCTGGTACCTTCATAGTATACACAACTCACGCTACAGTATCTGTAACTATCCATGCTCTATAGTCTACGTCTCTGTATACGGCTGGCGTGTAGGTGCTCCAGCATGCTTCAGTCCCTAATAAAATAACATGCTCCGAGGTATATATACCCCGAGTATCCCGTCCACCAGTTGAACATCGAGATTCATTTCTCCGTTGGATGCTGCTTTGTGAAGTTCTTCTTCTCCCAAGACAGTAAACCCTCTATTTTTGACTGGCTTACCTATATTCTACCTCGTTTGACCACTTTTCATACGTAGGTTAAGGATTCCTAGGACATTACATATTCATATACGAATTCACGGTTACGAAGGATGACGTAAGTTTTGTCCTTTGTTGTAATACGTTACAGATCGTCACAATTCTCCGTAGCTTTATGTAAGTATTGATTTTACTAATATAACGTGTTACTAATATAATAATACTTATATAATATGTTGTTTAATATTTTTTTTAGTTGTAAAAGCAAAGCACTCTTGAGTCAGGTGGAATTGGTTAACGGTCATGGAATATTGAGATGGCTTCGGGCTTTTGCCGCGAGATGGTACTGAAGACTGCGAATAGCGTTTGGTATTCGAATCTTACCGCATCTTTTCATAAGAGGATTATATACGTATCGAGGCGCTATTATACTGGGTGGGTTATCTGAATCGTACGATATTTATACTGTGTGGAATAAATTCTTATCGATTAAACATGTCTACGCGATAGTCAGTCCGTGAAGGAACGTTGCGATAGTGTTGATCGATCTTTTTTTTTCATTTACGCATACGCCAATCTTGATACAGTGTATGTAATTCACGTTACGTATGAGTAACTCCATAATTGCTCCTCGTTGTTCCTGTGACCTAATTATTTACTGATTCTAACAAACGATTGGAATTGACGATTTCCACAGAGTCAAGCCCGTGCTCAAATGGGAACGTATATCAGCTCCCTTGCTTTTTATGGATCGATAGACTCTTCCAAATGAAAATCTACACGTCAAGAACCATTGAAATTCATCGTACGACTCTGAAGACGTTCTAAAAATTTCGACGAACTGAAGGAGGTCGGTTGCTAATCCGAAAATCCATTGCGAAAAGGAATACGTGCATACGGGATTAAACATTGACAATTTCGCAAGCTAAGATTTAGGGTCATCGATTGGATCCGGAGGTATAAATTCATTAAAAATAACTTTCAATTTCACATAGTCTTTTTTACTTCATCACTCATAAAGACGAAAGAATACTACTCCTTCATTGAGAATCTCCTTTTTTTTCCCTTCTACCAGTTTCAGGTTTTTGCATCCGTTTTGTTATTTGACGCCGTGAAACGTCGCGATGCCGTAACCAGCGAGACGTCGATACACCATGACACAACAGGACGTCACTTTCTTCTTGTTCGATGAGGGCGCTGGCGTGCGTGACATTGGCCGCCTAACTTTCCTCGTGTAATTCGGCGTAGCGCTTCGTTACGAAATTGAACGAATTAACAAATAAAATCATTATTAAACCTTTCGAGTGTATGTATGATAAATATAGGAAAAATTGTTGTTACCTGGTATTATTGATAATCAATATATAAGTGGTAATCAATTTACTTGAGTAACTGGAGACGATAATGATAAAGAATTCAAGGAACGCTTAACCGAGCTGCTTTGATATATTCAAGGAGTCCAATGCAAAAGATTGTTTATTAAGGTGTTGAATTGTTACCACGCAACGCGAATTGTCATTGGGAGGTCATTTTCCTGAAGCACGCAGCTCGTTTCACGATTGGACACACGAAAAGAATTGTGTAGATAATATACTACGTGTGGTTGTCGTTACGCATGGGATCACATGGGTCAATCATGTGACGTCATCGTTATTACGAAATGAAACTTAATTGTAAGAATAAAACGTCCTTCTAGACCTCACCGGCAATCTCCAAATTGTAGAGTTATGAACTACTTCTTCGAAATCATTCTTTGCTACCAGTTTATCACACTATACTGCATTTATAAGTCTTATATTTTATAGCACTTATATTTTAAAACAGTAGCGTGAAAATAAAAACATGGATAAGGAATCTCAGTGTAACGCTAATTCATGTAGAATGTGCCTTATACCGTGTTCATTCGGCAGAATTTTCTTGTATCGAGTTTAAGACTGTCTGGTAACTTTAAAATTGGCAAATTTGTTCTATACATATATATATCAAATATGTTGCGGTGCAGAGTACGTGACGGACACCTTAATCGCGGTACGAGACAATTTTACTAATCGAAAACGCCATTAGCTAACAGCACGACAATGATTCCATCTTGCGCAATTCGGCTGATACTCAAGGAACATTATCTTATGAAGGTAAGGTAGGTGATGCATAACTGCTCTGGGACTGGTGAGCCATCTGTCGGACGTGACCCGCGTTGATATTCAATAAATATTTTTCTTCAAAATGTACAGTGATTTTATTAACACAAGGGCTATGTCTGGTTGCCTGTCGACAGGCGTTTGAATTCATATGCATCTAATATTATTCTGATATATCACAGCCAATAAAGTAGATTAACGAACTGCCGTTATCACCAATTTAAAAAAAAAACGGTAAATACCGTGGTTCGCCGACACAACACTCGTGCCGCTAGTGTGCAAACGTAAAAGCTGACAGACCGGGCAGGCAGTGTCTCACCCGTCAGAAAGGATTCTCTCGTAGATGGCAATTTTGATCTTCCACCACTTTCGTGCACGCACGTGGCGACTTTATAAAATCTGCCGAACGCGAAATTCGCGCTACCAAACACAGGAGAGGATCGACCGACAAAGTGCTCCGGCTAAATAAGAAAACATCTAACCCCGATGAGAGCAGGTCGGTCTTGTCGCCGAAAGGCTCGATACGTCGTTAATACCCGTAGAGGACCTTTTAGTATACTTCCTGGGCTCTACTGATATATTATTTCAATAATTATATAATTATTTAAAACTTTCTTTCGTTATCTCGTATCATATCTTTCCTTGGCAATAGATTAATGACTATCCTCTGCACACCTAGCATGGAAATCTTAAAAACCTTTTCGAGCTCCACCGTAGTACGCATCCTGCGAATTATTGACTCGTGCTGACTTTACCCCATACAATGGGGTGGGACGCGCGTCAGGAAAATAAATTGCGAGGTTGCCAGGATGAGCCTTACGTAAGGTTAGGATGTCGTTAGGGAGGCTGACAATGCCTAAAGTACATTCTCGCAGTGCGCAAACACTAGAGGGTCGTAGGTGTCACAAAGTAGGACTTCTATACCTACTTTTGAAAGTAATACTCCTATACTTGTTCTCTTGCGTTCCTCTTTCTTTTTTTTCCTAATCATGTATCCATTTTTTTTTCTGTTTCATAATTTCAAGCAGTTCGCCGTGGAATGGTGTCCGTTATTTGTTGATATCACGTACCTTTCGTCAGCCTTGATTAACTGTGTCGACGAAAGAACCCGTTTGACTATTCTTTTCATTTTTTCTAAAATTAGATATTTGAAGAAGCACAGCGGTACCTGCTTTACCATCGGTTACAAATTTACATTTATTTCATCAGTTCCACTCTACTTTGAATCTCGTACGATTATTTGTGTAATCTACGCAATCGTCACCTAGTTACAAAGTATTGTTCCAGCGATACCAAGTAATACGAATGAAAAATGGCTGCCTCCCTCTCCACCTTTTTCTCCCTTTGTCTATCCTACTCCCGTGTACCAAGATTTCTTCGCTTTTATGTTTTCACGCCTTTTTTTTAGGCTCATCGTTTCTCCTAGTTTTCTACTTATAAATATTTTTGCTTCTCCTGCAAGTGCATTCTGGACTGACCTCTTGGTAAGCGAAGATTTTTCACTAGCTCCTAGGAAGATAGTCCAGCACTTTTTATTCACGTTTTGCGTCACGTAGACCAAAGTATCAACAACCCGTGACGACGCACTAGAAAAACCGAAACTCCTATAGTTTCTTCGCACAGTTACTCAAAGTCGAGAATATGCATACGCGACGGGCGTCAGGCGTGCAAAAGCATATGTGGCCTACCCCATTTCTACGATTCCCATGATAACGTCTGAAGCGGAAGGAATGGCCTTGACGCGCCTAGTGTGCCAGATAGCACCATCGTCAAATTCAATATTGAACAGTGCAACGTGGGTTTGTGTAAGGCAAACTTTTCCATAGAAAACAAAAATGGAGGAGACCGTTGAAAATCTACTCGAACAATTTCCATCTACAGGCTCGATTGCCAATTCGCATTCGGGATCACGCGATGTCGAACGATCACCTAAGGATCACTGACATACACAGTGTCCCCTTATTACCAGTCTTCATCACCATAAATTATGACTCAAATACTATTTACTCGATACGCCCCAAACGTTAATTCGCCAAACATGAAAATATCTAACCATCTCCCAGCCATGTAACTTCAATGAGTATTTGCATGTATTCAGATATACAGTTTCGTAATGTCCTCCGACAGGAAATCCTATTTCAAAATTTCACGTGGTCTATAGCGAAGTGAATGCTGCCATCGGACGAAAGGAAATCGGTCGAATATTCACATGATTATGAATATAACCTAGGGGGGAGTATGGGAGGTAGAAATCGGTTGGAAAAAATTGAAGATAAGGAAAAACAGTGTTAAGGTGGTCAGAGGCGGAGGTAAGGGCACGGAACGTTAAACGTAAAGGAGACAGAGAAAGAGAGAGAGAGAGAGAGCCAGATAGAGCCAGATAGACTTTTGCTATGTCGCTGGATGTTTCGGCGATCTTTTCAGGGCAAAGTGGCATCTGGTGGGGGCATGACCATCTTGCTGATGCGGTTTTACGGGGCGGTACGATCCTCATAAGTGGCACATGGGCTCTTGCATCTGACTATTTCGTTGTCAACTCACCACTAGAGCGGAGTGCTCTTAGCTCGACTTGACAATTCTCTGCGATCAATTGTCATCAGTGTCCTTTGACGTTCGTGAAAATTTCTGACTTCGTACCTCAAATTTGAGCTACATCCGTACCGTGTAAAAGTAAGTTTTCTTTTAAATATAACCTTGAAAAATTTCTCATACTAATTACCCGTAATGTCTATATCGTTCGTATCCGTTATTATCGTTATCACTGACAATTCCTAATATTCCATTTAAATCGTTTCTATCGAATCGACATATTTTGTGCACGCGCCCGGGTCAATGACCGACAAATTCATTCCTTTGTCTCGAGTCATTTGACGCTCTTTAGTCCGTTCGTCCTCGAAGCATTGGCAAATATAATCTAATTCCCCATTTCTCCTCGTATACTTTCTTCAACCCTTACCGATTACTCCAATCTGGAAACGAATGACCGTCTTTATTTGATTTACCGTAAAATTCGCACGTCCGGTCGCTTTTATATCTAATTGGATGAAAACTCGAGAACAGAGCGCCTCGTGCTCTCTCGTGCGGCACATAAATTTTCTCCGTGCATTTCTTCGGCTCGAGGCTCGCGAAGATTTCTGCGTTCTCCGACGCGAGACGGAAAAAACGAAGCGGCAGATGCGCGCGGACGATGCAAAAATCTCGAGCGGAAGTGCACTTGAAAACGTGACTGCACTGACTTGCGCAAAAGGAAGAATAAGTTTTTCAATAAGTAGTATCGTATGTACTATTTGTATCTTATGAATTTGGCTCTGTACTGTCTACGTGCGTTAATGGGATTTCAGTGCAGTTGCGTCTGATTTAGCCAGTTATGCAATTGGTCAATAGACGTCATTCGCCCTTGTTCGATTCTTACGAAATTTGCTCGGCCTTCGATACCTCTTAACGATTGGCCCCTTTAACGACCCCCTCCTGCCGCCCCCCCCATCTCTATGCATTCTATGTAATCTCGTGGCAATTTTTTTCATCCCCGTCTCCTCCGATTATAACGTATTCCTTTCTATTCGGCCGACCTTTCGCGGTCCATTTCGAAATAATTCAGTAGCACGATTGTCGCAAATTACAAGAAGCTCATTACTCATTGCACTTGCCGAGTGCAATTGGAATTGCACTGGAATTGCAATGACGCTCGAGAAGACAATCGGCTTGATGCACGTACGTGGATGGAAGTGTATATCGATGTATCGTGGATGCTGTGTTAATTATTTTTGTTAAAAAAACAAAAGGTTTACGTAATCTCGTCAATTGCGCAAAATAAAAAAAATTATATTATTTTTCATTCAAATCAAAATATAACAGTGGTACGTTACTTTCGTATTGCGTAACGTTTCCGGTTTTTTTTAAATAGATTTTGAAATACACTCATTACATCGTGTACTCATTACAAACTGTCAGAGTTATTAATTCAAATCAAAATGATTTATAATAAATTATCGTGGGCGATGTGGCAATGTGATTCGGCATTAAATGCGAAAATGGTGGTAATCAAATCGTTAAGAATTTGTTGATTACGTCACCAAAAAAAAAGAGTGGCCAAACAACCTCCTAGCAATTGCGCAATACGTACTTCTGGTAAAACAAGAAACCGATGCTAAAGTTTTTTAAGAAAAGTCCTTTCACCCCTTGACATACAAATAAAATGTCAAATTCTACAATGACACGAGAAACGAATGAAGTCTCCGAGACGTCCTTGTACGTCAAGTGGTTAAGCATTAGAAGAAATGGGCATCGGTTTTTTTTTTTTTTTTTTTTCCATGTGGACAATTCCAAGAATTTTACCGAAATGCGAGATGTTTACCTCATTCCGGTTATTACCTCCTCCGAGTGTCATAACGATATCCGGTTCACGCCCTTGGCTAACTCTGGTACGAGTCGTTGGATTTGCTTAAGGGTGCGCGAGGACGTGCGCAATGAGATTGGAAAGAAGAAATTTGGCATGCAATTTTCTTTCCACACCCACTGTACACCCATCTGTCACACGTGATGTTCATGAAATCTTTGGCAGTCTCAAAAGCAAAGAGAAAGCCCCCTTGTCGTTCCTACCGTCATACAGGATCCATGCATTTATAATAGACAGATGTACCCACTACGTGTAACGTGTCCGCGGTCCATTCGAGAGCGGAGATTGGCAGTGACCTCGAAAGCATCATTGACCTCCTTTCCGCGTAACCTGTTTGCACCGTAACTCTTTCTTCTTCGTTGCTTCCTTCCTACTTTGCTGGCTATCAGGTACCGTTCAGGCAGCCGGGGATCGACGCACTTTTACTCCCTGGTATTGCGACATGGGAGCCTCTCTCTCTCTCTCTCTCTCTCTCTCTCTCTCTCTCTCTCACGCACACTCGTCTTGACGACTACTCTACTCTTGCGCTTCGTTTACGTTCAAGACGCTTTCTCATCTGTGACTTCTCGATAGAACGGTACCTACACCTGGTCTGTCTTTCTTAGACGGCTACAGTCAATCGGTCCCAATTAGAGTCATTCTTTAGTGCCAGCAGAATATAACGGTACTGGGGATATCTAGTAAAGTGTCAGTCATTAATGGAAAAGACAGTAAAAAGATTTAGCTGCTAAATACTATTTTCAATGCAGATGAAATCCAAGAGTCCGAACTCTTGACGATCGATTTCAGGAAGCACTTGTGGCGAATTGACCGATAACGAAGTTTTGACGTAAAAAAATTTATAGACAAAAGTATCTCTCCGGTAGGAGAGACGCGAAACTTTAAGGGGAGTACACAAAGTGACAGATCGACCCGTAAGAAATGTGAGGTTGACGGAAAGACAAACTTCCTTGTTGATCTATGACGAAAAGGCGGATTTACTTTTGGGCAGGTAATTTAGACGCGCGACGGTCGGTTTGGACAAAGCGTCTAGGACCACGGAGTGGCATCTGGAGCACGAGCGCTGGTGGTTGACAGATACCTGCATTGCAGGAATCTTTTAACCTCCTTCGAGCCGGTACCGTCGGGTTGATCATGGTGCACACCTCTTTTTTTCTTTTCTTTCCTACCGGTGCTAACTTCAAGTCGCTGCATCTTTGTCCTAACTGCTACGGCAACTGTTGAGGATTTCACAAGGTGGAGCAACGGAATGGGAGCAGTCGGGTATCTCGCTCGACGTAGCTAAACCATACTTATCTCATTTTATAGCAAGGTTGCTTTAGGTGCTCAAATTTTCATAGCAATCAATCTGAACTTAGGTACGTCAGGATCAAGTGCAGTTGCGGTCACGTTGGAGTTGTTTCGTCCGTTAAAAATTGGCCTTCACTTTCCTCGTTGGAACTTCTAGGAAGCCCCCTTCGACCAATAAGAGAACGCGCTTCTCGCTGCGGTCGCCATAAGAATATTTAAATGCTTTCGGTAAGCCACAGAAAATAAATAGGCAAACTTTTTTTTTACAAAATAAAACAATGTTTCGTAATATATATGCTTGATGATAAATTTTGAAAAATGCCTGGGAAATTTCCAATGACTGGAAAGCTGTAATAATAAAGTTTTAAAGTAATAAAGTATACGGGCGACGTTCGTAATTTCCGACGACTCAGCTGTTCTGTTGGTATTACTTATTGCTGTATTTTGTATTCGTTTTTATTGCTATGTCAGAATTAAACGCGGCCGATGTTATCCCAGCGCGTGTGCTTTCACGTACGACCCATTGTGCACGGTCCTTTACGACGCGAAATTGCAGTCGGAAGTGAAACGCCTGACGCTTAGCGTATAACGTGTGACGTGTAATTAACAATGTCAATCATATAGGAAAGTTCGACCGCGTGTCACAAAATTATTGATAGAGACAATTTTTTTGTGATTAACAGTACTCACTGTAAAGACGTGTTTGGTGTTGTGATATTAGTACTCGTGGATTTGGAGTGTTGATAAAAAAAAAATTTTTCATGCTCTTATTGCGTCGGAAGGCAAATATAGAATTTGGAAATTAACCAATTAACGAAGTGTCTAATCGTCCGGCAACCGGACGAATAATTATGTATTATTCGTCCGAATAATTATTTTGACGGAATTTCATCAATTTCCGAATGATAGGACACAGTCTATTTTTTAATACGTTTTTTCGCACCCGATATAAGCGTCATCAAGGAAAAGCGTTGAATTTTAAGGTTTACCAACATTTATATAATTACTGATTCTACTGTGTTTAGTTCAATATAAATCGACCCCACTGCGGAACACTGCCAGGACGGATCAGGTTAGGTTAGAATAACGTTTGAATGCATGTTCGCAGCCATACTACTAACCCTTTGTTATCTTTCGTATTATTTTCCCGTTCTTACTTAGACATGCAATCTGAAACTTCGCTAACGTCACGGATTAAGATAACGTCCGATATGCCCCTGCCGTGACTCTGGACAACTAGGCAAAAATCAGGTTTTGATTTGAAGAAACAATGAATTTTTTTGAAACGTCTATTCAGTCAAATTTTATTTCGATGAAATATCGTTTCGGTAAAAATTCTTCGACCAAACGTCTTTCGGTCAAATGGTTTTCGGCCAAACGTCCGTATCTCATATATAAACAGCCACGGTCTTTAACTAAACATATTGTACATACAATTGATCTAAGAGAACGAGGAATAATAGGAAGATGATTCATTTACTTTTGGGGAGAAACAATGGAATAATTATATTTGATTATGCATATTATGAAGGTTTCAGTATCTTAGTTTTTTTTTTATTAATTTTTTTTTAACCATGGTATCGTCTTTTGTTCACATGGATATTTTATTTTTTATTTCCGACAGAGTGCACGATACGATGACGCCGAATCTTTTTGGGAATTCGGCGACGCTCTTCCTCGAGGCGTCGCAGCAGGACGTGAGGCAGGAGAAGACGTCGACGGGACAGAAGACAGGAGCGAAGAGCAGCGACCAAACACCAAAGACACAGAAATCGAAATATGAGTGGAACATCGTCTGGCGAAATGTCATAGCTTTTGTGTATCTTCACGTTGGTGCGCTATATGGATTTTACCTGTTTTTCGCCGGGGCGAAGTTCCTTACGGTGTTATGGAGTAAGTAGAGATATTCGTGTAGGCTTAAGGGGGTACTGGAATAAGAGTCAAGGAAACGATTTGAAATTTTGATAAGTTCTTGGTAAATACGCAATTAACATTAGAATGGTAATATACTGCTTATTTACGAAAAAAAAATTTCCGTTCATAGGAAATAGTTATACCTTTTCAAGAGAACTCCGGACCTCTCCGTTATCGTGCGAGTCAAATGTCAAGGAAAATCGAAAATAACAAATGTTTGATTTTTCAAGGTTTTTAATCATTTTGATACCACTTTAGCAATAATGAAGTCGAAATTGAAAGAGTAATCTGATCTGAAAATAACAATGTGAATTTGAAAAATGCACAAAATTTCGAGTCCATTTCAGTTTTTGGTTAGTCATTACGAAATTGGTGACAAAATCATTATTGACCTTACAGTATGTACGTTGAACTCCTTTAGAAAAGAATTTTTGTCAAAATCCAGTTATTTACGATTTTCGATGACGTTTTACCCGTATAATAACGAGGGAGTCAATGTTCCCTTTAATTTAGAAAAAAAAACGAGCTGTTGAAAAAAAATTAAATAAGCAGACACAAAAAGTTGTTCGACTTCCAAGAAGTACCTCAAAGATTTGACCTTCTTTGCATTGGAATAAAGTTTCTTGGAACTTTTGTGAAAAAAAAAATAAATTTTAATGATAAAGAGACCCGGTTGTTGAAATAACATCTAGAGGATGAGTTTCCCAGAAGGGCATTTCTTAAAAACTTACGTAAAACCAGAGAGACCAGTTTGATGAGAAACCAGCATATCCATTGAGACAATATAATTGTAATGACCATTTTTTCCTACAGGGGGATGTACGTCAAATGCGTCGGCCTTGTATTTATATTAATTACATTTTTTATTTTGTCAAACGTGCAATTTCGTGATCTCATCTGACAATGGTTTATTAATATAAATAATTAATTTTCCAGCAATCCTGATCGCTGCTACTGCTGCTGTTGGCATCACTGCTGGGGCGCATAGATTATGGGCTCATAAGTCCTACAAAGCAAAGTGGCCAATGAGAATAATCCTGATGGTCTTCCAAACGATTGCCTTTCAGGTAAAATCAAAAAATAAATAAATTAATGTTGATTCCACGATAACGTGTGATAACGATTATGATTTTCAGAATCATATTTACGAGTGGGTGAGGGATCACAGAGTCCACCATAAGTTCACTGATACCGATGCGGATCCTCATAATGCCAAAAGAGGATTCTTCTTCTCCCACATGGGCTGGCTGTTGATTCGCAAGCATCCCGACGTCATCACCAAGGGCGCCACTGTCGATATGAGCGACCTCGAGAAAGATCCTATTGTTGTTTGGCAAAGAAGGTACGTGTCTTGAATGATATTTTTTTGTATGTCAAAAATTGTTAACATATTACAGATTTATTTGCTCTTAGGTTATACATCATTCTTATGCCTCTATGCTGTTTCCTTGTACCAACGTGGATTCCTTGTTATTTTTGGGGCGAAACCGCAATGTATTCCTGGTACGCGACTATCTTTAGATACACAGCATCACTCAATCTTACCTGGTTGGTCAATTCTGCAGCTCATATTTGGGGAACCAAGCCGTACGACAAGTTAGTAGACTTTCATTTATACTTCTGTTAAAGTATAAATTTTGAAAAATTTGTTAATTTTTTATTCTCTACCGTATAACAGCTCCATCAGTCCTACGGACAATATCAGAATCGCTATCGGTGCCTTTGGTGAAGGATGGCACAATTATCATCACGTCTTTCCATGGGATTACAAGGCAGCTGAATTAGGAAACTACAAAGGAAACTTCACTACAGCGTTCATCGACGCTTTCGCCTGGCTCGGTTTAGCCTACGACCTCAAAACGGTACCAGTCGAGATGGTCCAGAAACGCGCAGCAAGAACTGGTGACGGTACAAGGATTCAACAAGATGAGCACCATGGACACACCTACGAAGATGCTATATGGGGATGGGGCGACGTCGACATGCAAGAAGAGGACATTAACGAAGCTCAAATAATTAATAAGGGTGATTAAAAACGTGACTCCGTATTAGAGGGTTAATGTTGCTCTGTGAAGATGTTTGGATCTGGGACCGGGTCTAAGTTAGAATTTCCTATAATCATTAGGCTGATCAGTTGAATATTTATTGACATTTACCGATGACAGTCTAATGATGAAACACCGAGTTGCAATGATGCCTTATATCTTCGCTGTCTCCTTAGAAGATCCTCAATGGCGGAAACGTTTAGAGTATAGCTGAGTTACGCTAGTTCTGGATATGTAAAATTGACTTATTATTAAATTTACAAATAAATACTTAGACATTATACAAAACGGAGGCAAATGTAATTATTCCGAGGTACAGTCGCGCTCACGTATTAATAACGTGATCGTACCTGATGTAAACTATAGTTTTAACCAAGATTGGATAGACTGCCCGATATAAATATGGAACTTGATTTCCCTCTTTTTTTAAATATTTGCCTCGACAATATCGAAATTTTGTATTTATAAATAAATTATTGTTACCGACAATTCAATTCACATTCCTCATTTTACATGTTATACTGCATTCCACGATTTTACCTGTAGCATAGAATCGATGATATACCTTATCAGTATTATTACGAAGGGAGTATAACATCTAATTTATCTAAATCAAACAAGATATCCGTGGAAAGTTTCTTATCTCGAAAGTATCTAATCCTTATAAGAAGCTAAACAGTAATTTATCGTTGAGCTCTCAAAATACCTGTAGAATAGAAACTGAACTAGAATTCACCATTGTTTCCCTTTTCATCCCGATGTGCATTGCTGTGAAACTAGTTTATTTTTCACAATTTTTTCCATTTGTCACAGATAAATGATCGTTGATCCAATTTTTTATATTTACTTTTTTTCCAGCTGTTCACAGTTCATACGATAAAACACAAGCGCGCGCGCACTTCGATAAGCGGCAAATAAAACATAACAGCTAAAACGAGACTTTCGGAGAAATCGCGTTGCTAAACCTGCCGCAGGTTCTTTCTTAGTTTGACTTGTCTACCGATTCATACCGATCGGCCACACTTATGTTAGTTCGAATTTACTTTCTCCAGTGTCAGTTTGCTATTCATCAATACTCTCTGTATCCTCGCTGATACTTGTTTCTATGTAAGTAACGTATGTACATAGAAACTCCAGTTCAGTTTGACGGATAACTAGTTTGTGAAAAAAAATTATTCTTATAACACAAGGTGCATTCTTTGTGATCGTGGATTCATATTTGACGCTTAATTCAGTTGAGCCGGAGTTTGCCGATGCGTCGTTGATATATTTAAATTTAGTGCATTCTCTGTGCAGTTACGAGCTGCAATGTTGACAGATAGGAAATTGCTCTACTTCGTAGGAGCTCTGCTGTTTTGTTTCTTCGTTTCGACGGTTGTACTTGGAACTAAATATAGCAACGCCACTGAGAAGAGTCGGACGTGCAAGAGCGACGAAGATAAGAACAAAATTATTGAGGTACAGACGATAACATACTTATCAATCTGCAAATAAAAATCAATTGAAATTTACGCGCATGTTTTATCAGTACAAATTTACAGGATAAATTGCCGTTACGAAAGTCTTTGAATTTCGAAAATTATAGACTACCCAGTGACGTCATACCTGTACACTATGACCTTCGTATACGTACCGATTTGGATGCTGGCATTTTCTTTGGCACTGTCAATATTTCCATAAAAGTTCATTCGCCAAGAAATTCTTTAATTTTACACCAAAAATGGTTAAACATAACCGAGACGGTATTAAGTCATGATTATGGATCGAACGTTCCCATATTGTCCACCGAAGAGGAAGAGGATCTGGAACAGTGGATAATTAATTTGAGAAATAAAATCGAAACCGGAAATTACACACTCACCATGAAATTTATTGGAAATTTATCGAGCGGTGTTCTCAATGGCCTCTATATGAGTACATATAAGGATCCCGACTTGAATACCAGGTATGTATAATTAATGTAATATAACGTGTGATTTCGAGCCATTGATTGCGCACTGTTGTATTTCAAAGTAATTATTTCCAAAGACAGTTTAAACAGGCGAGCGACAATTCATATATCAAAAACCTCACTGGGCCACCATACTCGACCAAGTTGTCACATTTGCGTTTCGTTTAGATGGCTATAATAATTTTCATCACGTGGCCATAAAAAAAGAAAACTAATTCTAAGACCGCATCGGACAAAGTTAATTTCTTGAAGGAATTGCTACGGAGTCTCGCAATGTATTTTTAACTATTGCTTGCGAAACTAGTCGTGCAGTTTTATTGTCTGCTAGTTGGGAAACTCACCTTTTTTTTTCTTACACGCATGCAAACGCACGACGGATTTGCATAGACGGCGACACGCGGACGCACTGTTATATTTCACCATGCTGGATTCCGAAACGCAGCGACATCTATGAATAGCGAATGTAATTAGTACGTGCTCTTAATCAAGTTAATAGACACGACTTCACTCTTAATTCCTATTAATTCGTTGGATTCTTTCTTTCTCTCTCACTCTCACTCTGCACCTATTACGTGTGTCACCCACGCAACCAAAGGCATTGATAATTAAGCTCGTTAACCAATTCTCGCAATTTCCTGTGTGCACCCAGTGCTAGAATCGTGGAGGAAAGGAACAGAAGTTGGTAAGACTTATCAAAGAATTGTAAATATACGGGAACCGTCGAGACGCTCTGTTCATTGTTTGTTTTCGATGTTCCCACGTTTCACTCCTGAAACCCTTAAGGTTGCCAATGAGAGAAAAAGGGAAAGAGACGAAAATCACTTGAGCAATCTTTTTGGGGGGAGGAATTTAAAATCTCAAACGTATAACGTGTTTGTACAATTTTGTCTACAGAGTCCATGTATGATGATCTGGTACAGAAATTGGTGACAGTTCAAGTAGCGTGTAACTTGAGCTACACCGAATGCCAGATCCAAGCTTGCAATTAATATGATTAAACGAGCTACTTTTACCGCATACCGGTACGTTAAACTTAACATAATATCTTGGTGAGTTATAGTGTCAAGTGCTGCTGGTCGTCATTAGGTCGATCAGCATGAATCGAGCAACGTGTCTAATTTTGCTTGTTTTACTTCCTGTGAGTGAGACTGGTTTTATGATTGAAATAGCTACCGAGTTTTAATTATGTAAATTTATTCGTAACACGGTTAGAAATCTTAACAGTGATAAAGAAAAAAAAATGAACGAACCTTGAGGTCGAGGTTATCGAAATCTCATTGAGTCTTAAGGACATGAAAACACAAGTGCGCCTATGTGAAAAAATGCATTCTTGATACGAGTGCTTTTGCGTATCATATTCGGGAGTTTGTGTCTAGTGTTAATAAAGTAATTTTAAGTGTTCAACATGCAGTAAATTGCAAATACCTGCGTTCAGTGCAAACTTTGAGTGCGAGTTATTTGATTTTTAACAGAGTTTAACATTTGATAACGTTTACTGTTAGCTATTGTGAGTAAATTAGAGAATTTCATGAGAGTCGGTAAATAACAGATTAACATCAGGCTCTATGTGAACTGCACTCGAATGTACCGACTGTTGATAAAGTAATTCTAAAAAAAATTGTAATTTATCGACATCGTGAGAGTTCCAACAGTGGATGTATACAAAGTGGTTAAATGAGAATGAACAGTAATGTCAGAACAGATCCGATACGGGGCGATGGCGTCGACGTCAATTTTGATGCCGGCGTCCTATCAAGACGGGACGTTAGCGTCTATGATCTACAGTCACGGCGTAGTGCCGGCTCCGCTTTACTTTGCTTTACTTGCGGACTTTCCGTTGTTCTTGGACTAATTTGTGCGTGTCTTGTTGTCTTCGTTGTTCTTCTTGGCGATAGATACGACATAGCTGCGGCATTTTTTGGTAAGATTAAAAAATTCCTTTAATAAGGGTCATGGGCGTACTCGGAACGATTTTGTTTTGTTATTAGATTGGTTCTGATGGTTTACGGGAAAGCAAGTAAATACACGAGCGAATCCTCTGTTTAATTTTCTTTGTTTTTATCCTTGTACATGACTTTTTAATCTTTGTATGCTCGCAATTTGATTGATAAGCTGGGTATCGAGCGACTCTCTTGATTATTTATATGTGTTAGAGGAAATATTTTTTGTTCAGTGCCATTCAACTTCTGTTTGAATTTTTTCACTCTTGCACTGACATTGTTGGATTCAAATATTTGAGACTCGCTGACGCGCTCTCAGACAAGGATTCTATTTACGGAGCATAAAGACACTGATTGTGTCTACTTAGTCGAGTTTTTATGTGATTGCAATGCACCTTTTATCAACTCAATATAGGATGTTATTGCTGACGCGTAATTGAGACTTATAATATTTGTCTGTGCTGTCACTTGGGTGCTGATTGGTTTTCAACGATTTACGGCCTTAAGATTCTATTGAATTTTACAATAATATTAGTTTTACGGATTGACTAAGATTTGAACTGAAGAAAAACAAAATGGGAAAAAATGTTCACACAGATCAGAATAATACGAAAGTTCTTGGGATGGGGAGTCAGGAAGCACCGTCAGGGCTGAACTTTCGACTTCCGACGGAGGTGAAGCCGATGCACTATGAACTCTACCTCTACCCCGACCTTGTCAAAGGAACGTTTGAGGGTAAAGTCACTATCCTCATCGAGGTCCTCGACAAGAGAAGCTACATTGCTCTTCATCAAAAGGATCTCAACATCACTTCGATCGAACTGAAGACCTTCGACTGCGAGGATAATTACAAAGTTCCGATAAAGGAGGCCTACGCTGTTTCAAAATTGGAAGCATACGTTATTGCGACTGAAACGGAAATCAATCAGAGACTCTACAGTTTGACTCTCGATTTTAATGGCGCTTTGCAGCCGGATAAGATCGTTGGATTTTATTCCAGTACTTACAAGGATGAAGAAAAAAAGACGAGGTAACAGCATTTTACAACGGACGTGAATCTAGTTCTGAATTTATAAAAAATGAAATTTATCATTGATTAATTTCAAATATAACAAAAATATTTTTGAGTTTTATTATAGAACGCGATCAATGGCTCGATTACTAAGATTAAGCATAAGTATTACATTCTATGACAGTTCTTATCTCGTGCACTGACCGATACTTGTACTTCGGAATTCGATAAGTTTTCAAGTATGCGCTCACAAAATCACTTGAAAATATTTCTTTCAAAGGGTTATCGCCACGTCCAAATTCGAGCCTACGTATGCAAGGCGTGCGTTTCCATGTTTCGACGAACCCGGCTTCAAAGCAGAGTTTTCAGTCAGATTGGTCCATCCGACTGGTAATTGCTACAGTGCACTTTCCAACATGAACGTCGAGGTAAAAAAGCCTCGATCCCAAAAACTTTTTGAATTCTCCTTGCGTGTGTCATTGTAATTTATTTTTCATCCAGAGTTCCGTTGCTGATACACCTGCACCTGGTTTAACTACAGTGACCTTTGCAAGAAGTGTACCAATGTCCACGTATCTAGCATGTTTCATAATTAGCGACTTTGTCGCCGTCACTGCCAAAGCTAAGGGACTCAACGACAGGACGTTCCCAGTGAGCGTTTATACAACTAGAGCCCAAAAGTCTAAAGGCACATTTGCCTTGAATATTGGCGTCAAGGCTATTGAATATTACATTAACCTCTTTAAAATAGATTACCCCCTGCCAAAATTGGGTATGAAATTGAACAAATCTTAATATTAAGGTATGGCAATGCAAGAGTTTTAATCTTCTTTGATTTCTAGACATGGCTGCTATTCCTGACTTTGTTTCCGGCGCCATGGAAAATTGGGGCCTGGTCACGTACAGAGAAGCTCGACTTCTTTACGACAGCAAAATCACTTCTACTTCGAATAAAAAGGGCATTGTTACTGTTGTTGCTCATGAGTTTGCTCATATGTGGTTTGGCAATTTAGGTAATATTTTAATTAATATTAATTAGCCGTGTATATCTGAGGCTAAACCTTTTTTTTTTTGTATTTCAGTCACGATGGCTTGGTGGAATGATTTATGGCTGAACGAAGGTTTTGCTACTTTTATGCAATTCAAATGTGCGGACGCTATTCTTCCAGATTGGGGATTGGTTGGTATCATGTTTTGTTTCTATAAATTACTTTTGTTTCTTACCAATTAATCATTTTTTTGTAGATGGATGAGTTTCTTATCGACGAAGTTCATCCGGTTTTCGCAACAGACGCTACATTGAGTTCACATCCGATTGTTCAGACCGTCAGTAGTCCAGATGAAATCACAGCCATCTTTGATACAATTTCTTATAACAAGGTTAGTAGAATTTTTCGGTATACATACATAACATTTATTTATTTATATTATTCGTATGCTATATGATTCTTTTTATTTTTTAGGGATCGTCCGTTCTTCGTATGCTGGAGAATTTCTTAGGTCCAGAACTCTTCTATGGTGGCATCACTGTTTACCTGAACAAGTTTGCTTATCAGAACGCAGAGACTAAACATCTATTCCAGATTCTGCAGGAAGCTGTTGGTACCCGATTGAACTTAATCGCCATTATGGATACCTGGACCAGGCAGATGGGATTCCCGGTAGTAAATGTATCCAGAAGTGGCAATGTGTACACGTTGAAACAAAAACGATTCCTAGCTGATGCTGAAGCCAAATACGACCCTAATGAATCTAATTACAGGTAGCCTATGGGTTTAATATAAATATAAAACTATACTGTACCAATTTTCATTCCTACAAAAGGATACTTTCAATTTGCAGATACAGGTGGACCATTCCTATCACGTATACCACTAACGAAAACTCAAGATCAACACTGGTCTGGTTCGATAAGGACCAGGATGATCGTAAGTTCTTTAAATTTCAATAAATTTTTACGTTCAACTAATTATCAATTATTGATTGCAGTGGTGATCAAAGTCGAGGAATCTGTGAAGTGGGTAAAATTCAATAAAGACCAAGTGGGATATTACAGAGTAAACTATGAGGAGAAAGAATGGAATTTGCTTGCTACTATTTTACAATCAGATCACATGGTACAATATCTTTAATGTTACTGATTCTAAAAGTAAATCATCACGATACTTATGTACTTCGTAATTCAAAGAACTTCGATTTTTTTTAGAAATTCTCTGCTTCTGACAGAACTCATCTTCTGGAAGATGCTTTCAGTCTGGCAGGTGCCACTGAACTGGAGTACAAAGTGCCTTTGTCATTATCTACTTATCTTACCAATGAATCGCATCATGCCCCATGGGCAGTTGCGTCATCGAAATTGAAGGCCATTAACAAACTTCTAGCATCGACTACTATCGCTGACGATTTTCGAGTAGGTTCATTTCGCATAAAAAATGATTGTCACCTGTATTAATTATAAACAATTTGCTTGACAGAATTACGTCAAGAAATTAGTCGACAAAGCATATCAGAAGGTAACTTGGAATGTGAATCCTGAGGAAAATCATATAACCCTGTAAGTTAAATTATAAAGAAAGAAAAATAATGCATAATTTCGTTGTCAGCAATGTTATTATTAAATAAAAATATAATTTTTTTACTTCAAGATCTCTTCGCTCGACAATCATTGATCTGGCATGCGCAGTGGGACATCGAAAATGTCTACAGGAAGCTGGAACAATTTTCACTCACTGGATTAACGATACAAACGATATTAGACCACATCCCGACATACGGAGTCTCGTTTATTATTATGGTCAGTAAATTTAGTTGTATAATAATCGCTGTAACAATGTGGAAAAATGTCAGTTAATATTAACCCTTTGAATGCTGCTGATGTGTAGGGCAGGAGGAGCCCATGCTTGCGTTCACAATAGGAGCGCTTGTTAATCCTCGCTGTGTTCCGATGATACAGATCACTTTTTCGTTGCGCTGTTTCGCATACAAAGGTTTAATATAAATATTCTGCTTTCTAATTCAGGTATGAGTTTCGTTGGCGGCGAAGCTGAGTGGGATATAATGTTTGAAAGATTCATAAACGAAGGAGACGCTATGGAAAAATTGAAGTTAATGAGGGGATTGGCTGGAATTCGCTCTGCAGAAATATTGAAGAAGTTAGTAAACAGCTTACGATATTATTTTATCATTATATTATATTATATACGACTTTATAACTATTGTTAGCATTAATTTGAACGACTAAAAATGTAGAAATTATGAATTAGGTTCATCAATCTGGCCTTCAATGAGACTTATATTCGAGCTCAAGATTTCTTCAGTTGTATGATCAACATAGCTGGAAACCCAGTGGGCACGCCTTTGGTATGGGATTGGATAAGGGAGAACTGGGGTCAATTAGTGAAGAGATATACCCTTAATGATCGTTATTTGGGCAAACTTATACCCTCGATTACGAATTCGTTCTCAAGCGAATTGAAACTTGAAGAGATGAAGGCTTTCTTCCAAAAGTATTCCGAAGCCGGTGCAGGAGTCGGAGCCAGAGCCCAAGCATTGGAAACTGTATCAAATAATATCAAGTGGCTGAATAAGAATACCGCGAAATTAGAATCCTGGCTGGCTGACCAATCGTCCAAGAAATTATCTTAGTTGATCACCAGGATAACGATGGAATAATTAACATCTGGTGTAATAATGGTTTACTGTACGTAAATTGTAAAAAAAAAAAATATACTGGACTATCCTCAAATGTAATTTGTGATCTAATTAGCTGCAACAATTGCACAGATATGTTGCATTTATAATTGCATTCAGATGACACGCTCAATTATTGAAGTTTGTTACTTATTATTAAATACGACACCGGCATTATTTACTGACACGTAGTTACGCAAAAATATACAAATATATATATATATAATACAGTTAAATTTATATTTTTCAATAAAATCAATTTTATAATTAATCGTTACTTCAATTTTAACACCGAGAATTAAAATTATTGGATTTATTAGTAATAAATTATACTGTTTCGATGCAGTGTATTTTCATAGTGCGGAAAACGCATACTAAAGCTCCATGATATATCCCAATATTCCATTCCCTTTTGTATACATATAAATCGAATGGCTTATCATGGACGGTATCATAGATAACGTTTAGCGCTCAGTGTACCTTATCACAAAACGAATGAATCAGTTTGTTACCGTACGCGAGATACATTGGATATCGTGAAATGGTGAAGTATACACTTTTACACAAGCCTAGATTTTCAGGATGGCCGACGATACCGCGTCAACTAAAGATCATCCTGGCTATTACTGTTTTCACAGCAGCGTCATTTTTCATTATAGCACAGTCATCGGTAAGTGTTTAAAAAAAATAAGGTGAAAAAATAATATGCGATAATACAAATAGATAAATTCAGCACGACTGAACTCTGCCTCAGTGACGATAGACTACTATCGATAATAAAATCATTGATAATGCAACAGAAATTTCATCTATACAGTTTTTCACGAAAATCATGTCAACTGAGTCATTGCAGATCATTGTCTATTATTTTTCAGACAAGAGCCAAACTAATAGAACTTTACAACCTTCAAGAATCCCTAGCTGTGATTTTTGATCTCGAACTGAAATACATGCCAGATATAGAAATAAATGAATTATGGTTACCAGTTGGTGTTCCTCAAGGACACATTTATTCGGCTTACTTAGATATGCGACCTGAGGTCGTATTGAATTACAAACACCTAAACTACAGCAGAGAGACGACCTGGGCTGAAATTCGAATAATCGCGGTACTCGATTTAGAACGAAATGACAAACCACTCATGTGCCACTACAAATATAAAAATGATGGCACTACTGATTTCGTTTTTGAGCGCCGCCCAGCGACAAAAGTCAAAGCCATGGACGAAAATTGGAACCTGAAATATTCAGCATTTTTCGTCTTGTGTGATCTAACCTTACCAAAACATCTGGACTACGCTACATTGTACAACAAGAATCATTTTCCAGTAGGTGTGACAATTAGCGAGGACCGCGGTGTTGATAATGACGAGTATACAGGGAAACCAGAAAAGGTTCCATTTGTAAATATCACTTATCCAATGAGAGGCACCATTCATTATTATGAGAATGACATGTTTCTATCGGTATGCGTACCTGGTGAGTCGAGTGATGAGGACAGAACGAAGAAGTATGGTGAATAAACATAATTATTGTCTTTATTTTCGAAATTTCTTAGCTCTTCATTCAAACTACAATCGGGCACTTTTTTTTGTCGAATTTATCGAGTACTATTTAATGATGGGCGCTGGACACTTCACATTCTACAATAGTTCGGTATCACCGGAAGTGAACAAAATTCTAGAATATTACACGAATAATGGAATCGCGACAACTCTGCAATGGAAACTTCCGCCATATTATATTTACGAGAAGACACTTCGCGATGAAGGAATCTTCGCGGCACTCAATGACTGCATGTATAGAAGTTCTTATTACAGAAATTATAAGTACGTCGCTGGTGTTGACGTTGATGAATTTTTGATTCCTCGTGTTCACAACAATTTTTACGAATTGATGAGATATTTGGATCCTGAGGAACCTGAACGTCCACGCAATAGGCACGCATCCTTCCTTTTCAGGAATGCATTTTTTTACACGATCCATGATGACGATCTGGTTAACAAGGATACGAGTAAGTACGGTCATATGAGGGTACACTCGTGAATCTTTTGATTTGTTTTCGTTTTCTTTATTTTCATGCAAACATTTCAGGTGTGCCCTACTTGTACACTCAAGCAAAAACTCAGAGGGTAAAGACCATCAATGAACCTCGATATAGGAGCAAGTACATTGTTCGTAGTCAGGACGTCGTCGAGCTCGGAAATCACAACGTTTGGGAATTTCGAAAAGGTCCTGCCACTCTTTTATACCAGTGAATTACATTCCTTTCAATCACGTTCCTTACTGTTCAAGTATTTTTGAATTGAAATCATTGAACTTTTCGTTCATTTTTACGCTTTTCGCAGGGGTGTGGTTTAAAGACATTGAATTTTTTTATCGCAGGATTCGATGAAGTCGCAGTGGACACTGATATTGCATTATCTCACCATTACCGTTACTGCGAAGGTGACACAGTTAAATGCTATTTGACGAAAGTGACGGTCGACAAAACGGCGCACAGATTTACAAAAAAATTAGGACAGAAAGTTCGTAGTTCTTGTCAAAATATATTTGGATCGGCTGGTTGTCCTAAACCTACGGATTAACTCTTAGCAGTCCTATGTCGAATGTGATTGAACAACCATTTTATTCTAGTAGCTTCAATCAAAATAATTAAAGGTGCTTAAGAGGGGAGAGTGATAATCTTTATCGGATTATCGAAAATATCATGAAAATATTTGATACTGTTTTTTGGTAACACAAAGAGAGAATTAATAATAATATTTGTGATAAGCCCTATAAATGTTCCGATACGCGAAGATATAAAAATTAATATAATGTAAATGATAATTTACAAATATTTTTTCGACGAATAATAATGACAGGCAATATCGACAGTCTCTTACTCACTTGTTACGTGAAATTTCTTGTATTCATAAAAAAACAATAAATATCCAAATTTGATTTCGTAACCAGGACGTTAAATAGAATTAGGTCCTATCTTTATTGGCATTAGCATTTTTCGGAATGGCATAGCAATTCGCAACTGAATTCACTGCTGACGGAACTGCTATTTGCATATTTGATCTTCCCAATGGAGAACTCTCATAGGATTTAAGGGAACAAAGAAGACTTAAATACAATTAACATAGCTTTTCGTAGAAAATACTCTCTTGCTGATTTCGCCCCAGAATAAAAATTCAAAGGAAAAGAAAAGAAAAATACAATGTATTTGTGAAATTGACATAACAGCTATCCCTGTAGTTTTTATCGATAAGAAACAAAACATGTATCACAGTCATGTGAAAGGACTGAGAATAAAAAAATATTATCAATATATTTCCAAAGAATAAGGTAAAGTTTCACGCGACTGTGAAATCCTGTATTGAATATGACAGATAAAATTGCTTTGTATTTTCTTATCAACCAATAGAATAGAAAAACACCTTAGTTGATCCCTAATTCTCAGTTTTGACTGACTGGACTGACTAGCTACTATTGATTCTGAGGCATATCTCTTTTGCGTATAATGAAATTCGATTCATCCCTTTGGATTAAGAATGCAACCGCTATTTTCTCACAGCAATTCAATTAGAAGTTTTATGTTGGGCAATTTTGTCAATTCGTCCACGGGGACACTAAAGATCCAAGTCTATTCATTTCTCCACCCTTGAATCTCTACCCAGTTTGTATGTTGGTACCTATGATTACCTAGGCTCTTTTTTTCTGTGCAACAGCCAAGCAAAAAGTTATATTACTGCTTGGGGAATAAAACGTTAAATTTATTATCTTCCCAGAATTGTATTCCCCTTGAGTATGCGATAATTTGGTTGGATTTTGTATTAAGTAACAAAGAAATCAACTCAGATTAATTTCACACTCACGTTCCAGCAGTTCCACCATTTCACTCTTCCTTCCTTTCTTCCGTTCCTATGGCTGCCTCCTCTGATGAAAAGATGTGCCACAGCATCCCCAGATCCTTTCATTCGGCTGGACTTAAAGTATAGATTCAATCTAGAATTTAGATCTAACCTAAGGACTATGAGCACTAAGTACTGATAGATTGGAAACTGACATAGAAAAATGTTACTTAGATATAAGCTAGAGCTTTACTCGTACTAAAATATATAAATGGCAGAATGTATACTTTCTGTTTACTTCGTTACTTCGCTGAAGCACCCTTGACGATGATTTACTCATAAAATCCTCAGTCGCCAATAGATTCACATGATTTCCGTTTTCATCAAGCGACTATTTTCCTTGGGTCCGTATCATATATTGGCTGCTAAACAAATTCTATATAGCTGTTTTATTCATTTCGAGAATACATTCGCTCACTGAATTCCTTTGATTAGATTACCTTGGCCAAAATACTAACCTCTATAAATTCTTTTGTTCATGCTCATGTCGTCTGCTGCTACACCAGTATTTTTCCAAAGCCTACAAACTGGATCTCATGGTAAACGCTGAAAAACTGTAATATCCACTAACCCAAGATGTACTGTGCACTTTGAGTATAGATAGAGAAGGTTTTTTAGACGTCTCATGGTACGTAGAAGATTTAGGCTTGCGAAATACATATGAGGCCCCAGGGAGCAATTCTCATAAATTTCGGTTGGTCCAAATTGACAACATAAAGATTAACCTGCGTGATATCTGAAAAGGACACGGAGTCAAGTTCAAGGATTATAGAGTGAAAACTCAAAGATGGAGGTGTTCGGCAGATCCAAAATTGAGGACAATTATTATGGTGTTTAACATCATCCTATGCATAATTAGAATTTCAGGAGGAATCATTAAGATTGAAGCCACCGATGGTTGGTTGGCTAAGGGAATATGGAGACTTTTAAAATAATTTCATTATTCTTTTTTTGAATATCAGAATGCTCGATGAAAGGAATTTTCATCGGGATGATAATAAGTGAAGGGGGGATTGGAAATATACATAGAAAAAAATGGCTGTGCTTAAGTTTATAACTTCCTTGAAATTGTAAGGGGGTCGCGTCCTGGTGTTCTTTAAATATCGATAAAACTTGGCTGGAAGTCTAGAAGAGCCTGGCGATAATTCTAATTTATGGAATTCGGGGAAGCCTTAAAAATTTCTCATTAAATATGAAGTATCTTGGTAGGGTGACGAGCGGGTGAGTGTCTTTTTAGCCAATACCATGTCGACGCATTTACAGATAAGATTGCTAAATATTAATAGAGCATCAAAGAGAAGGAAGATATTCGAATCAAGAAGAATCGTATTAAAGGTTGCCGGATTTTTTTATCTTTATTCTTATATTATTTATGTATTTTTTAATAATTTTTCAAATTTCCCTCAGCTCCATTTCTAAGGGCAACTGAGAAATCCATATGTAGAAATTGTGAGCTTGCACTCGGTACAAGAGAGGATTTACCTTCGTATCTATTTGGGTCAAGTATTTTCAACTTTATATTCTTCGGATGAGTCACCACGGGACATCTGCAAGAAAGAGAGAATAGGTGGAGGAAAAGGGAAAAGGGGAAAAAGAAAGAAGAAACGAGGAAATCCCTTTTGCGAGAAATACTAGCCGTTATCTCTTGCCGAGGGAACTTGAGTTCTGGAAAAACCTCATGGCTTGGAATAATATAATAAAGGTTATTGTAGGATTCTATTGATATTCCAGATGTATACCTTATCTTGAAAAAAATAAAAATCACCTTCATCCGCCGGTATCACTTGGTTTCCGGTGAACGTGAGATCAATAAAAAGTGAAACGGGGGGGGGGGG